CTATACCTTGCAACATGCAGTCGTACGCTTTCCTGTCCCTCCTCCCGAGGGCCTCCCAGAATCCTGTGGACTCTGCCCCCTCATCACATTCCCGAATGGACACCTTGCTGCTGCTGTGGAGGCCTGTTTCCAGAGGACAACTGCAAGAAAAAAAAACAAAAACAGAAGGTGTCACACTCAGCTCAGCTCCTACCTCCTCAATCCTTCTTTAAAACAAACAGTTTCCACGTACTGTTCTTTGATCTTATTGGCGGCAGTGCGAGCCACCTCCCTTGTGTGCATCTGGGACTTGCAGCCATGCCACAGGTAAATGACGGCCTGGCTGACGCTCAGCAACACCATGGAGACTCTGGAGCGCAGACTGCTGCAGTGACAAGCCACCTCCAGCAGGTGTCCCTCCACCTCCACTTCCCCACGCACACAGTACAGACGCCAATCATCTGAGATGAAGAGGCGCAAAAAAAAACAAAAAACAAGTAATGAAGAAGACAGCAAGTTTTTAGTTTTTTTTAAAAACACATTATCTTTCAAAAGTTCTCTGCACATTAACTGCAGAAGAAAAAAAAGTACTTTAACTGAAAAAAAAAAGAAAAAAGAAATAAGCCCATTTATTTAGAAGTGTGGGAACATTCAGAGCTCTAGCAAATTTCAGCATGAGTGTTGATCCCTCAGGATGGTTTCTATTTTGAACATTGAATTGTTCTCTATCCTACAATGCAGTCCTCAGATATGACTCACTCCTTCTGGGGGAATGAAGAATTTACATGACTGCAATAGAGACAGTTATTGCTGTGAATGCAAGTCTGAGAAGCCACTTTAAGTCTCAAGTTAGAACTATCAGAAATCCAGTACAGTACAATTGTCTTAAAGAAATGATGTGGCCGTACTCTGTGAGTTTTCCTCCTCCTCTTCTCTTTTTCCAGAGTGGACAACCATCCCTCCTTTGAAACACTGCAGGAAACACGGAGGTTCCTTACCCTGCTGAACCTGAACCTGTTGGAAAAAAGAACAAACAAAAAAAAAGAAGAAAGAAAAGTCAAACAGCAAAAGAAAAAGTTCACACAAAATTCCAACAGGGACAAGGACAGACAAAGAAAATGAAATGAAATTAAATGAAAAACACTTTATTTATCCCAGAAGGGAAATTCAATTCAATTCAAAAATTCAAAAATTCAATTCAAAAACAGACTTGTATTTATGATGACATTGTTTTTTTCAGACACACTCTCTTTTGAGTACCTGTGCTCCCCTCTCCTCGTCCAGCTCCACCGTCATGAGCGCTGACGTCCCTTTCTCACTGACGGTGGAGTTGCGGCCCTGCCAGAAGAAGTAGCAGCACTTCTCCTTCCCGGCTCCTGCTGTCTTCAACTGCTCTGGGTTCTGCCTCTTGCCAACTGATGACAAAAGAATGTAAAACAGACAATAATAAGTGCCAGAACATGGTCAGAAAAACTACAACATGCTGACCTTGTTTTGTTTTTTGCTGGTTTTACAATAAAAGTCTAATTGACTATATATTGCTGTGAGCTCTGATTGATGGAAGCTGCAGGGATATGGTGCTCTGTGAGCCCATAAGGACAACATTTAATATAAAAATGTATTATCCAACATTTAATACACATCCCTCTTCTGTCACATCTGGTTCTCCTTCGGGTGGTCCAGGGTTTCTACCAGTCTCCACCATCACCTGTATCTAGATTCCAGGTGTTCCTGTGTTGACCCTGTGATGGACTGGCGACCAGTCGAGTCTGTACCCTGCCTTTACTCTGTCAGCTGGGAGTGGCTCTTGACTTTTTACTCCAAATTATTCCACATCAAGTCAACTAAAAACATCATTGACTATGTTACGCTATTGCTTGCTGGGATTGTCTCCAACTGATCATTGCACAAACACTGACTTTGCAGCTCTATTTTTCTTCATTTACTTTCCAACAGCTCTTGTTAACTTAACTGTCTGCACTCTTTAATTCCGGGTTTTGCTTTCTGCAAATTTGTGGTGTGTCACAACTGAGTAGTTTGCTGAATTTCACACAAACATGTTGGAGTTTGTTTTATTCTGTTTTGCAAAGCAAGAGTTAAGAGAACAGCATAGTCAACCTTACTGTAAGACATAATAATAATACTTATACAGTGCTATTCAAGACACACAGCGGCGCTTTACAAAGTAGGTAAGTACACAAAATGAAGACATAAATGGATAAAATATAAAGTGAAAGGAGCATACTACATCTTTAGATTTGTGTAGTTTATAACTATAGAGGATTTGTGTCTAAATCAAAGATTTACACTGACATGTACTTAGAGTGACTCAGAAGGTTTTTACAGAGGTTTTTATGCAGTTGAACTGGCAGTAAACTGTAAATGCTCCCTTTAGTTGTGTTTTCAAACATCACAGTTTACTTAATGAGCAGCCTTACACATTGTCTTAATTTCTTAATTTGCCACTGTCCTCTAAACCTGGTGGCAGAGCACTGGCGTCCATAAAATAGAAACACACAAAATTTTTAGTTTTAATCCCACTGTTTTCAATTATTTTAAAAATGACAGCAAGATTTAACTTGATTGAACAAAGTCCCCAGAAGTTGTGGTACTATAAAATATTTATGTGAAAATCTCTTTCTGCAGATTAATAAACCAAAGAGATGGATCTACATGCCCATTTGGAATCTTGCAAACATTTAAATTTCTGCTCAAAAACTTTTCCATGATATATTCTATTTTGGGTAATAACTTCTGGTACTGACAGATTACACTCTCCTGGTTTTCTTCTAACAGTAAGGACGATGAATTCATGCATATTGTTCCCTCCAATTATCAATCAGTTAACCCTGATTCACATGAGACTTGTTTCTACCACAGACTCTGGTGGACACAGAACTATTTATTGAAACACTAAAAAATTAATCACTTACTATTTTTCTCCCTAACTGCTCCTCGAATCTTCTCAAAATGTTTTTGAATTCTAGATGAAACAGTGTTACATAGGAATACAGTACATGAGCTCAGTACTGACCTGCAGTGCTGACCATGTATTTCCACTTCACCACGTAGGTGTCACCCTCGTGGAACTGGCCGATGCTCTGACGAGGCAGGCGGCTGTAGTCGAACTCCAGGATGTGCCACACCTCCACAGCCAGAGTGCTGATCTCGTAGCTCCGCCACTCCTCTGCCTCCACCAGGCCGTAGCCACGACCCACATTGAACCCATCCAGCTTGGTGCAGACGGGTGCGTCATGGAGGGGCAGCATCAGGGAGGCGTCATATGCTCGGGGCTGATCAGAGGTGTGCTGCTCCTGGAGTAAAGATGTTGAAAGAAAGAAATAAAAATGATGGCAGATGAAGACAGAATGTGCATCTGATACTGTACAACCCTCACATGAATGACAGGAATTTGATGCAGTGAAGTACTTTTTTGACACCTTTTGATCTGTGATGTGATCGTTGGTGTTTTTTGTGGGACTGGGTGTTTTCCTGGAGTCACTCCAGTCCACGAACTTCTCTTTGAAGAGGGTGGTCTCATTGTGTTGAGTCAGTCTGCCAAACACTGCCCAGTCAGGTCGGCCCTGGCCTTTCCTACAGGCGAAGAAGAGACAATATGTCAGTGGTACTTCAATACTGGTACTTCAGTCAGTTAAGATGTTGTCTATACACTGCTGTCCTAACAGCAGTTATCCGAGGCTGGATTTACAGCATTTTGAACATCAAGCAAGATTAAAACACTAAATTCAGTCTGATTACATTCTATTTGGGGGTTTCTTTTCCCTAGGCTAATCAACATTAGAAAGAATAATTTCATTCAGAGCTGCAATTAGAATAAAACTTATGAACAAAATGCCATAGTCACTGACAAATCTCCATCATATCAGGATTTTTCATTGGATATTTTACATTTTTATACAAATACAGTGTCTAAATGACCCATTTGTATAGAGAGTGGAGATTTCTTGACTTTGAAATGATTCCATGAAGAGGAAGAACAGTTTGTAAATACACATCCAGTAAACAATGATCTACTGAATATGCAATATATATGCAATTGTGTGTTAGAGCAGTAGTATGTTTCCATACTTCGGTATGAGTGGGTTACACTCTCCCGGGTCCAGCGGGTTGATGTCACAGTTTGTGTAGTCGAATGTCCCGTTCCACAGGTGCTTAGCCAGCTGGAAGGCCACTTTCCTCTGTGCTAGAGTCACTTCCTTCCCATGCCAAATGTACATCTCACTGCCAAAGTCAAAAACCAAAACCTGCACAGAAAACACACAGAGGGAGAGAAAGAGATTTTTTTTAATGGCATGCATTGACGTTTGCCACAATGTCATTTTCAAACTGCCGCTCGGGGGAGCCAAAGTCATTCTAAAAATCTACACACACTCTTGAGGGGTTTAAAAATTATTTTGGAGTTGTGACTGCTTTATAGTTTTACATGTTCATCAGTCACTGAGTGAAAAAAATGTTAACTTAGGCTGTCGGACCTCCTTGGGGTTGAGCAGCGAACAGCGGGGCATCTTGGCCCAAAAATCATCATCTGGGACCAGTTTGTCGTCCATCAGCCGGTAAATGCAGTTTGTCTCCACGATGGCACCCTCATACAGCTCATCCTCGTCTGGTGTTCCTGCAGCTACAGAAAGACAAGCAAGGGCTTCAGCTTGCTTTTCACCGCTTCAGGAACTGTTTTCTCAAGGTTGTCAGATTTGAATCCTTACACTGATAATTTGACTGGCCTCCCAGACTCTTCCAGAACTCCTTGACAGCATGGCTGTGTGAGCTGATGCCTTCCTCGATGACCTGGACGTAGTTAGCTCGGCAACCCAAGTCTCTTTTGCTCTGGATGAAATTAGCTAGCTCTGAAGCCTGAGGAGAAAAAAAAGAGAATATCTTATAACAAATTAAGAAACAAGTCATGTTGAATTTAGTTCCAAAAACGCAAGTATTCTGTTCTCCCTACAGAGGTAAACTTTTGTTTATGAAGGGGTTGTAGACTGATATCAATTGAACCTTTAAATCATTTTTTGAGGGAAAAAAAATCAGCTGATTACGCTCTATTACACAAAACCTTGCCACTTTGTCAACGACTTTAGAATGGACTGAACTAAAACAACTTCATAAATAATGTGGCTGAGTCTGGGAGCCTTCCTTTATGTCACATTGAGGTCACCATTTTGCTCAGCCAACCAGAGGTCATCACACCAGACACACACACACACACACTTCTTCCTGAGTTGTGCCGCTGCTGCTTCCTCTTAACACTTTGTTTACATCCGCAAGCTTGGGATGCAGGCCTGTCCTACATACAGTAGCAGCACCCTTAGTGTGCCTCTGTTTATATGACTAAGAGGGTTTTAAAATGATTTTAAATCCACACAAAAATATACAAATCAAAAAGCAGCACAAAACAATTCTGACTTGCACTCAAGTTAATAAAAAAAAACAAAAAAAAAAACAACAAGCAAATGCTTTTCTAATCATTTGTCTTACTTTGCGGTGCTTTAACTCGTTACTCACTTTGCTCTTCTCAATGACGTTGGCAAACTCTCCGGTCCAGATGAAGCAGTGGTGTGGCGTGATGAGCAGGAAACAGTCTCCGCTGTTCAGTGAGGACGCTCTGGGTTCCACCAACCTGGTCTGGACGTGCCGTCGGCCTGGTTTCACACAGACAGACAGACAGACAGGTGGCTCATCAGTGACCACTATGATTATCACTGTCAGCATGCTGGATTGTCACACTAGCAGTATCACCACCACTTGACCCTGCATATGCATCAAACTTTTTTTTTACTAAAAACGAAGGCATGTACTGGTGTGAATAAAAACATGGGGATATTTAGAGGCCTAAACAGTTCGGGATCAGTCTAACTCATCAGAAACCAGCAACCCTTAAGCAAACCTCTCTAGAACTGTGAGGTTGGGACAGCTAGCCTCCCAACAATGGTATCCCCAGGGTAGTGGATTTGCTGTGGATTACAGACAGTAGTGTTTGGAGGAGCGGATCAGCCCAGGATAGTGTGAGGTGACCTGGGGAGAATGATTTAGAGCTACAGCTGTCACCAACAGACGTGTGGAGGAGGTGCAAAGACACCAAAATAGACTCTCGTGTCCCATTTTAGATATCCTCTGGAAAGCACACCCTTGAAGCAGCATCCTCCACAGCTTTGTGTAAATCAGTAGCTATTTGTTTTTCCATCCTCTTTAACGACTAAATGGAACAGCTGCTACAGACTCTGCCACACTGACTGTGTATTTTACATACACAGCCACAATCCTAAAACCACCTGGCTAACAACAGAAAACACGTCATCCTTGGGCTCTTTGTCATGTTCCTCAAGCCGTTCCCAAATAGCTTCTGCAGTGTGGCAGGTGAACGCAACGAAAGTAACGTCCACTAACATGCCAGGACCTAAGATGCCAAACAGGGTGAACATAGCAGACATTGCCATATTATCATGTTGACACCACCATCTGGTAAGCATCAGCTGACTTTAGTCCTGAACTCAAGAATTGCTGAAACTATCGTGTCAACAAAACCTCAGCGTCACTGGCATTGCTGTAGCTGTAATTTAGCACTCTGCAGTACAATTTGTCTACTGACGTAGGCTCAAAAGAAGTAACCTACATAATTTTAACTTAAACTTAAACGCACAGAAAGTAAACAAAGTGACTTTAAGTAAGAAAAAAAACAGAGATTGGCCTCACAGTAAGAAGGTGTTGGACTACAACCCACTGTCTCATGGAACGAATGGATGGAAATAAAACTGATGAGTTAACTTAAAATGTGAACCTGGATCTAGATCTGTGTGGAATCACTGCTCATTACAATTTAACTAAATATAATTTTGAAAAGACAGGCCTGAAGAAATGTGGACAAGATGAGCACTTTTCTCTTTTTAATCATCAGCAACTGCACCTGTTAAAGTCAATCTAGTATGGACTGTCCACAAAACGTTTTTATGTTTTAAATATAAAAAATGATCCTGTTTTGAGCGCATGTGTTGCTGTATGTGTGGGGCAGCTTTTCAACTCGACTGACCTTTGACTTGCAGGAGCATGAGTTTCTTATAAGGCACGGCGCTGTTGTTGGACATCTGCTCAGAGATGTTGACACTGCGCAGGCTGACACTGCTGAAGTTCTCCTTGCTGGCCAGACCAGCTAGAGCCACTTCAGAGAAACCAGAGTTCTTATTCACTGCAGTGAACAGAGCAGAGCACCGACCGCAGACAGGACATAGAAAAAACAAACAAACAAAAAAAAACATTAAACACTACATTTAATACAAATATACAGCAAAGAGACAACAGTCAGACACACCTGGCCTTTCAGGCATAACACTGAGTGTCTTTATATGACAGCAACAAGTCCCGACACAGTTTAGGTGGTTTAATTGATGTCAGGAGGTAAACAAGGAAGTTACATGACACTGACTGTGGGCTCTCTGACGTCACATTCAGAAAAAACCTGCAGAGCACGTGCATTTCAAAAACAACACTGTGCTTCTGAGGACTGCTCTGCACAATTACAGGAAAGTGGCTCACATGTAGGTCAGTTCAAGTCCCAAAGTAGGTTGCATGGGTCAGTTCAAAACAAGGAGACATTAGGTAGTACAATAAGTACATTAATAAAGACATTTAATTTTAAAAAGCAAGTCAGAAAAACATAAACTTTGGTTGATGTAAAATGTGCAATTCCCATATGACAGGCAGAGACAGGAACACAAATGAGAACAAGTTGATATTAGTACACAAATTGGACCAAATTCAAGATACTGGTCAGACTGTAAAATACTTAATATAGTAACAACAAACACTGTGCTGAGGGTTTTATTTTGTAGCTGTAGGATGGGAAATTAGCTAAAGTTAACAAATGAGCCTGTCACATTTGGTGTCCCTTAGTTTCATGCACTTGCCACCTACTCATCCATCCTCACTCACTCTTCTCAGCCTTCATCCTTTTGCTCTCCAGCAGACCGATGTTGAGCCTCTGTTCTGTGTACTCGTGTCTGATGTCCTCCCTGGCAGCCAACATCTTCAAAGGGTTTCTGGATGATTGGACGTTACGTGCCGGACGCACAGCTCGCTTGTGCTGTATCATCTCTGAAGTCAGCCTGCAGAGAGGTCAGAGGTGAAGAGTCATTGTAAGCAGGAATGATGTTAGTCAGGGTTCTTACTTTGAAAACAACTTCTGGCAGTGAGAGCTTACTTTGGCTCCTGGGGGCCGAAAATGGCATCAAAGTCGTCGTCAATTTCCACCTTGTTAGTGATGGAGGGGAGCTCCTCCACTTGGCGGTAGAACTTGGAAAAAGTTTCATCTTCGAGGGTCATGACTTCCTTTACTTTCTTCTCAGTCACTGTGATGGTTGCTTCTGGCAGTTCAGACACTGAAGATGGACAAAACATAATATGTTCACAGACACATTTTGATTTGTTGTTGTTTTATCTGGCTCTAAATATCAAAAATTAAATTGTGACTGTAGGAGCCATGAATAAGATGAAATATGAAGAGAATGATTTTATATGACTAAAAATATTTTGACATGATTTATATTAATGTTAAGTATTGTTTGGTATTATTATGGTTGGTTATTTGTATAATTATGACTCTTTTTTGGGAGCTGGTCATATGGTATGGGGTGGTGAAGTTTATTTAGGTACCTGCTCACCTGCCCGTATGCAGTCGGTGAAGGAGAGGGTGAGTGGGATGCCGCATTTTTTTGTTGACCGCAAGCTTGATTGTTGTGAGATTCATTTTGTTATATTTTGTGCACGTTATATTAAGTTGACCTTTTTCATTAATAAACTTTTGAAACGTATTTGGATCTCAGGGAATCTTTTGTACAGTGTGTCTGACAAAGAGCTCGGCCCAACTTCATCCTGTCAGCGCTCTTTAGGCGGTTTTTTATGAATTTGCTACAGTGACTACTTATACATATATAAAAAAGCAGGTTTGAAAGGCAAGTTGTCTTAAAAGAAAAAATGTTCTTTTCAAAAACCATAATCAGAAACAGAATCATTGCATTGAATTTTCCTACAGCTGTTGAACTACTCGTCCGTGACTTGCAGTTTGGTTGAGAAACTTAACCACATCTGAACATGAAATCATGATATATCTGTATTTTTTATGGCATCCTAACTTGTTTGGTTCTTGCTACTTCTAGCTGTGGTTGTGCTGTTGCCACAGAGGTTAATGGTGGATAAAATGCTACGCTAAGTTTGAGGCTGAATTCCTCTTTCAGAAACAGAGTGGTCTCAAGCTGAAGCATGATGAACCTGCGGACAACGTGATGTGCACGACTCACCTTTACTGTTAAGCTTGCCAAGGAATGACTCCAGTTTATCCAGCTTCAGGTCCGACTCCAGGTTCAGATCTGGCACAGCCTTAATCTCTGCACACACAAGCACCTAACTGTTAGAGTCACAATTCATAATGTTACACAGATCTCATCTATGAACAGGCAGGCGGTCTGAGGTTCTGTTTTTTATAGAGTCATACTTGTCACCAGTAATGCTGTTGCTGAATTTAAACAATGACTGAGTACGATGAAGAGATACAGTCACAATGATGTTAAACTGAACATAGTCACAAGCATTTCACAATCAACAGCTAGTGAATATGACTTGTTCTGCACTTCAGACTCATGCATTTCCATCCAGGTGAACATTCTATCAGGCTTTACAACCTAATAGAAGTCTCACAGCAACATCAGCCACATTAGTGTTGGTGACATTCGTGGTTTTGATGATTGTGATGAATAGCAAAACAACAAACAAGAGAGGATAAACCTTCAGTATCAGAAATCTCCTCCCAGTCTTTTGAAAGAGAAGCAAAGACCAAAGACAATCAGTTACACAATGTCCAAATGAGATCCGACAAAAGAAAGATTTAAAAAATTACTTTAAATGTAAATAGTGTAACATGGTTTAGAATCAGAAATCACATTGAACAGGTGATCGTCTCAGTTCAGCGTAACATTTCTTCTTCTTAATCAAACATATTGTGTGTTTTGTAAAGTTTGTGTCTGTTGATAGTTGAGGATAGAATGTGATGCCATTAAGTCTAAATCAGCACCCTCCAGTCTTCATTAAGCCTGCTAAATTAAGTGAAGGACTCCACATGATAGCAGTGTGACAGAAGAAGCAACTAGAGAAAACTAACCTTCCTGTGGTTTGGAGATGGCAATGTTGCTGTTCTTGGGTTTGGACAGCACTGGAGACTGGAGGGCAGAAGGGGTTGCCAGTCCTGCAGGAACACAGGTAGACACATACATGTGATGACACAGTTACAAAAATCCAATTATACCATTTCAGACAGGACACTTTGTCCCCAGAATCGACATGTGCCCACAGATGTTACACTACTTTAAAACAATAGTGGCTCTACATCTATAGATATTTTACTGTGTGAGCAAAGCCTGTCATTCAGTCGAAAAGTCTCTGAATTTTTGTCATGTGACTTGCTACTCGTGTCATCTTGGTTCTGCTGAGGAGCACTGATGTTTTTGTTTTCTACAAAATCTGGTGTGAAGTGTTTATTTTTTGCAAGTTGTTAAATGAGACATACAATTAAGTGATTTTGAGGGAATTTCTAACAGCTTAAACCTACTGGGTTATTTTTCCCAATAGAACAGAACATCGTCCATCAATTTTTACAGTTTCTGGCTCTGATAAACAGTATAATTCTGTTTTTTGTTTAAAGGTAACATGCCCTTTAAACCTATCAGCTGGTTCCAGGGTTTCAAAAGGGTTCAAAAGAAAGTGGCCACAGGCTGAAGGTCATGATGTATATTGCTGAAGTTTGACTGGGTACGGAATAGAAGGTGTACCTGATAGAGATAAACTTTTTCAAAGACTTATGTTTGACATATGTTACTCTAACTCATATTTCAGGAGAATAACTAAACAGATATGTACAGGATGAGATTATTTATTTTACATGTTGAGCATCGATGATGTTTCCCCTGGTTTCCTCATCAATGCTGGGACATAGTCTGGTGGTTTGCCTTAACATCAGTTTGTAGGCTCATGCAGAAAACAACAGGTGTGGGTGTTCAACAAGTGTCATGTGCTTTGCAGTGAAGGAAAGATATACAGCTGTAGTCAAGGTTGCAAATTTGAAGCCAAGAAGTGGTAAACAATCTGAGGAACCAGTGCTAACAGCACTAGTTTTGAAGGCAGCCAGAGTTGAAGAGGCGCTGTCTAGTGCATGAAAAGTTAGCCATTATTTCTGACGTGATTCCTTCCTATGTCACTCTCCATTAGCTATAAAATGGATAAAACCACCAACTCCCCCAAAACACTAATGAAGCCTTCCATCAATTGCCCCCTCAGGCTGTGCTGAGAGCTAATGGGGAAAAACTCCAACCATTAAATCATTTTCTGCCTGAGCAGCAGCCTCAGAGCAGCGACTCTGGCCTGATGGAGGGAAAAGAAGAGTCATTTTCCCTGTACTGTTAACTGAGAAAGGGGTTTTGAGGGATTGGGGGCAGAGGACTGAGACTAAACTGTGGACTTAACTCTCTGTTGTAATGACAGAGTGCACTTCAGCACTTGTGCACATGCTTCTAAGAAAGACGACTGTGGAAAGTATGTGTGCTGAGTTTGTCCTCTGACCTTTCTTGACCATGCGTGCAGCCACAGTGAACTGGGTGGAGTCATTGGCAGCTCCGTGGCCCTTAGACTTCCAGGCCTCCTCCTGGGCCACTATCAGCTGTTTCCTCTCCTGGATGGACATGTGAGCCTCTATCCTCTGGTACTCCATCTCAGACTCTGCTAATCTCTGAAAAAAGGGAAGAGAGGTTTCTTACATGACTTACCGCTGTTGATAAGAGTCACTGTTTTTAAATGTTGAAATTTCACAAACCAAAGAAGCCAAGCAAAACAAAGACACCAAAGGAAGGTAGCTAATACACATTAAGCCCATTATTCCTTGTTACACATTGCACATAATTCCTTCACCAACATCCACAGAATATTAAAAAATGACAGGAGACTATGATTGCAGATGTCACTCCCTGAAGATTTTACAGGCATTCATGATGTTACGTTGAAAAACTGCATTCTCCTAGCAACCAACTGCAAGTCATTTGGTGTGGATTCTGCTTGAAACCTGAACTGCTGAGTGTGTGTGAAAAGGCTGCCACTAGGGAGTGGGAGGGGTGGGACTGGTGAGACACTGTATGCAGTATTGACAGGGTCACCTTCCGTCTCCAGGGGTGTCTTTCATCCACCTGCGTGGGTCTGGGAGATCTGGTGGCCTTCACAACCAGAGGGATGGATGAGGAAGGTAAGAAAGGATGAGGATTAAGTGATAAGGATGAAAAGATGGTCGAAAATATCCAAGTTCTGCACAAGCATGAGAAGCTGCAGGGGCTGCCATGCAGGCCTTACAGTGCTGAACATTTGGGATTTGAAGCAATGTTTAGTAGGATAAAACAGGAGCAGGGGGATAGTGAAGGGCTACAGAGCACTAGGGATCATAATGTGCTTATGCCATTATAGATGTGCCAGTGAGGCTGCAGCAATGGAAGCAGAAAGCCTTGACAGTGAGCAGCATGTGTAACTGCATAGGTTTCCTTAAATGGTGTATTTAAGAGTCTAACTAATGCAGAGTACCTGTAAAGTTCACAAATAAAGCTTTGAGGTGTTTGAATGGATTTTGGTTAGTTTAGCAGAAAGTATGAAAGTAAGCACGTATGCAAGCGAGCAATGCAGGTAGCAAGTAGCTGGTGCAGCTTCCTACCTGGCTGGCTGTTTCATCAGGGGAAGAAGTATGGAAAGGAGGCTCAGGTGGAGGAGAGAAAGTAGCAGCAAAGACTGGCTCCTATAGAAGCCGCAGAAAGAGGAAATATACACACACACACATACATACAGAGGTTATCATCAGGAGCATAGCAGCTGCAGGGACGTATCGAGGATTTTAGAATTTCTGAAGTCATGGGAAGCAATTTTCCATGCTGAAATGTATCAGGTTACTAGATACATTCAGTGTGAAACTGTAGTGTGAAAACAGTTGTGTAACGTCATTTATCCAATAGTCACTGTCCTCCTTTTGCTCTTCACAAACTCTTGAGAAAAACAAATGACTCCTTGGCCGTTAAATTATTTATCATGGGGTGCGATCAGAAAGTTCTGAGACTGCATGAGCACAAGAAACATCACACACACACAGATGAACCGTGCATGATGTGCAAACAGTATCTGTCACAAGACAGCATTCTGAGTGACGGTACGACATCAACATTGGAACCAGTGTTGTCCAAGTTTTGTAACCACTAGCAGGTGCACATTTGCAGTTTCACAATGGAACTGGAGCAGAGAGCAAACATCAGTGTCTTTATTCGTCAGCAACCAGTATGATCCAACCGTCATGTGAAGGATCACCATTGGTGATGAGAGGTGGGTCTGTGCCTACATCCAAGAGAAGAAACAGCAGCGTCGCTCTCAGAGCAGTAGAAAAGCCTCCAAGACTGGAAAATGAGTGTCAAGCCAGGAGCACACCAAGAAAATGAAGAAAGAAAATGCTTGAACTGTCAGCACAGTGTTCTGTAACATCCTGAGGCGTCTTGAGGGAGAACATTCGGGACAAACAACGTGAACTGTGGGATAACAGCATGTGGGAGCTTCAATTGTGGTGTGCACCCAGTTGTAGTGCAATGATTGTGTATGCATTTTCTGGCCAACAACAACACGATCACCGATCTTGAGCAATCAGTATGTATTAGACTTGGCTTCCTGCAAATTCTGTCTTTTCCCCAAAATGAAGTTAAAAGATCTGTTTTGACACAGTTAAGGAGACTCAGTGTGTTTGGTGTGCTTCGAGAACATCCATTAAGTGCACTTAGCATGGCAGCAGCACTGACAGAGGTGTATCATTGTACAAGGTCACTGCTTTGGCAGGGATGGCGGCCACATTTGAATCAGGCATATTTTCTGATTTTTATAGGACCAGTCTCGCAACTTTTTGATCACAACTCAGATGTCCAACCACTCACTTTCTTTGTTTTTTAGCATGGTGCAGGTATCACACAATGGATTTAGCAAAGGGAAACTGCAGGACTGGCTGGTTATTCTCATGAGTGACCCTATTTCACAAAATACACTGTCAATTGATGCAAACGTATGCAGTAGTGTAGCTTTAGTTTGTTTTATGTTGCCTGAAGTGTTAAGTCTTGCACTATAATCAGCCTTAAAATATCGTGTGATATTTATTTGTTAATGTAAACTTACTGTCACTAAACCCCTGCAATAACACAGATATAACCAAGAGCATGCCCTACTACAGCCCTGAACAGCTGCAATGGAGAGGAAACAGGAAGAGCTGAGAAGTGTGCCAAACTGATTAAATATCAACAACAGCTCCTGAGATGTAGAGCAGCGACTACAGACCAACTTTGTCTATATGTACCAATGTAAGTTAATCACAGACAAACAAATGTTATATTTCAGAACCAAATGTAAAACTTTAAACACACAAACACATTCAAAACAAATCCACAGTGTGTGGTACAGGACCAGAAATTCTTGACAATTATAAGTCTGAAAACCAACGAGCAGCGACGAGACGAACACGCCATCAGTACAAAACTGTCAACAGGGTTATAAAAAAAGAAACACACCCACACAGAGTAGCCACCACCAATACCACCGCATGAACACACACACACACACACACAAGCAGCTGCCTGGATATGTGTTACACCCGGGCTGTATTTATCGAGACAGCAAGTTAGCAGCCAGGGAACAAAGTTAAGTTAGGGATGTAAAATTTAGATCATTAACACAATTTAAATGCTTGATAAATACCACTGCAGTGTGTGTGTGTGTGTGTGTGTGTGTGTGTGTGTGTAATTCGGGTTTTGTACACTGGCCTTACCCATAGCTGGTCGGACACAGCAAAGTCATCGATCATCATCAGTGCTTCATCGTCCTACAGACAAGAAGCCGAAGAGAAGGGACATTTTTTTGAAGGCCCTTCATTCATGTAATGGAGGGGCCAAAACACCTCATCGGCTTCTCGTGAATCTGAACTAAATGCTACTAGAAGTTTCCTAACTGATCCTTTGCTTTTAGATAAATGTCAATTCTAGTCGACAGCGTGTGCAGAGCAACACAAATGTCACTACAATCAAAAGTGGCATTTATCTGTGGTCAAAACAATAGGAACCTTTATTCTGCTCTGCTGTCGGTATTTGCTTGGCTCTGCTCAGTTTTCTATCTTTGTCACCGTAACTTTTCCACTTCTTGGATCTAAAACAGGAAACCTTGAAAATCATGTCCACTGGCTCTGATGAATAGGAGGATGACAACAAGACGTACTACATCTACTGCCCTTCCCCTTGACCTTAGCTACCACATGAACTTGATTAAAAGTCAAAGGATTTCCTGATTTGATTAAAACATGGAGGCTTTTCTTTGGAAAATATCCAGAAAAGGCGTCCTCAAACCCAGGAATCAGAGCTTCCATCGCTAAGGTCTTTGTGACCTTAAATGAACTGAAAAACCAAAATCAGAATACGTGTGGGCAGAGTTGTCAAGTCAAGCTGAACAAACCTTGATAAGCAGCTGGAAACAAAAAAACAAAAAGAAACAGCTGTGGCACGGCAGCTGTGGAGGATATGTCTAAACAGAGAGGTGCCCACCCGAACCCTCCCTTTGAAAACACACTGAGGATGCCAACACAGAAACACAGTCAACATACAGAGGATGGAATTTGGTTTATTTTTTTAAAAAAAGATAGAGGACATGCAAACAGACATCAACAGAAGAATGAAAGGTTAAATGCAACATGCAGTTGAGTAGAAATAAAGGTTGAAGCCAGGCAGGACAGACGATAGAGGCTACATTTCACAGGACACTTAGTCTGTACGCTCACTTGCCTGTTAGTCAAACAGTTTGAAGTAAGTGTACATAGAAATGAACCGTTCTCTGAGGGGAAAACACATCTCAATATGTGTGTAATTTAGGCAAAATTAGAATTCCAAGTTTAGCTTGATGCACTCTAATCTCGATAATCTCTGATCAAAACAAACTGCGACAAATATACAGTCTAGGAACAAAAGAAACTGCCACGAATAGAAGCTTGAGATTGAAAATACTGGAATGAAATGGTAAAGGATGACGTATGACAACAGCAAAATGTTAAGTCTTTTAGAAAGCTGTATAATATTTTCGTATACTGTACAGTTAAAGCCGTACACAGCAAAGTTTCACATATTTATTTGTTTATTGTTGCTACACCGGAATTCAACTCAAAAGTAAACAACCTAAAGTTGAAAATTAAATTGCAAATGTTGTGGCAAACACAAAATTAAAATAAACAAATAAATAATAAATAAAACTTTTTTTTTTCCATAAATCAAATTAGAAATTTTGAGATTTTAATCAGTTTTTATTCTATTTTAACTATTAAGTATTTCTAAACATAGTAAGGAAAATTTAATTTAGATTTTTCTTTCATGCAGACATTAAAAAAATTATTTTTCATTTCATTGAATTATTTCATTTTAGTATTGGCAACCACAGACTTCTAGATCTATGAAATGAAAGCAGCATGCACCATTAAATATTCTGCGTGTGATCTAGATACTACAGTACTTTTTTTCTACTGTCAGGTCTAGAATAAATGTAGCTTATCTTTTGATACAGTTCAAGAACAAAAACATACAACAGATGTTTGAGACAGAACAGAAGAAAGAAACAAAAAGTTAAAAGACAAAGACATGGGACAGAACACAACCTCTCTGTTTAGAGATATCCAAAACTGTCACCACGTGCATTTACGGGACTATTGTGATCATTTAATGGTGGTCAGCCCTCTGACATTTGTTTGACTCTTGAGAAACATTTCTGTCATAGAAGATCAACAACATCTTCAAAACCTTGTCTAATGAATAGTCTGGTTTCAGAGGCTGATCCAGGAAATGCTCGCTGTCCTAATGTGGCTATGTGGAACGAATCAATGCGGTGGAGCCTCAGTGGTTTGTTGCCGCCACTGTATTAGTTCTGCTTTCTGGTCTTGTGGGCATAATGTAGTCGAGTGACAGTTAAAAGCAGCTCCTGGATATGTTCACATGTTTGAACTTGTTTTGAAGGTGTCATGATTGGAATCTGAAGCACAGTTTTGATGCTCCTGATAAGTAGGGAGTCATTCAAATAGGACAGCATTATTATTATTTTAACATGACGAGAACGCAGCATACAGTCAGAACCACATGAAAGACATGACATAAGCAGTATGAAAGACAGTCTTAGGCTTGTCTGTTGAAGTGTTAAGTCAGCAGTGAGTGTTCACATCAGGTGGTTACCTCCTTCTTGAAGCTCTGCTCCACCTCCCAGAGCTGAGCGTGCTGCTCGCCCACGGCAACCTTCACCACATCCTGCTTCTTATTGATCCTGTTCCTCCAGTCCTCCTCGCCGCTCTTCTTCAGTAAGGCGACTCTGAGGGGGGGAGACAGAGGGAGGAAGCATCAGATGTTCTGTTAGACCTGACTTAACATCGCTTCAAACCAAAAAAAGTACAAAAAAGTGCAAAAAAAACACTATTTCTGATGAGTTTTTAAAACTGTAGTAAATGTTTAAAGCCTATAACTTGACATTTGTCAACCAGGAAGAGGCACCCAGCAAACCTTATCTTTGCAAAAACATATTTTAAGTGGCTTTGTTCTCACTCTGGCAATACACCACTGTAACAACAGGCCTGTCAATGCATTAAGTAGGAATATTTACTTCTATACTAAAAATCTGGAAAGTTTTACAACTGGTTTGTTTTCTGCATAAAGCTCACATAATACAGGGAAAGTGTAACATTTTCAGAAAAACTCTTTTTGCCAAATGCGACTTGAGAAGCTGGTACCAATCTGTTTGTATGTTTAGCTATGGAGAAAGGGCCAGGGGGCGTTTATCGTTGCCGAGCATCAAGGCTGGAAACAGGGCGATGTTTAGTCTGGCTCTAGCACAGTCACAAAAACACACTGACCAGCATCTCTAAGGCTCATTGATTAACACATTATATTTCCTTTGTTTGATCAGTAAACAAACCGAAATGCAAAAACAACAAGTTGTGGTTTTATAAACGGTTATGTGCTGGAACCATTTCTGTCTGTGTTTTTTTGGAGTCATGCGACTACTGTGAGGTTTCCAGGCAAGCAGAGGCTACAGGCTCTCCATCATCTTATCATCTCTTGGCAAAAAGCACATCAGTGTATTTCCCACAATATTCCTTTGTAGTCTAAATTCTGTGTTTATTGGACTTTTAGCCAGTGACAAATCAAGAGCTTGATTTATTTTTAAAAAAGCACAATACAGTAATCAGTCCATACTGGCGTTCCACACACACACTGAAGTGTACAGTCAGTATCAAGAGCATGAAATGATGACACGCTCTGCACAAGGTTACTGAAGGTCAGCTTTCAGTAAAACTTCAACCTTGCTTTTAACTCAGATTGTCACAGCACTCGTGCCAGCAAAAACTGGGATGTTCCCACATGTACTTGTATTTATGACAGAAAAGATAGCAGACACTAATGAGAAACAGCCAGCGTGTCATTTGCCAGCCACAGTTTAAAAACAGTGTACAGTTCTAGATCGGGGATAAAGAGAGCGGTGACAGCCAGAGAACAGCTAGACATAAACATCACTCAGAGAAGTCAGTCAGTGTAACAGGAGCTGAGAGAGTATTTGGTCTAAACAAGAAATTAAAGCAACAGAAAAGGTGCTGGGATTTATTTTACTTGAAGTTAGAACAGCAGGGCAAGTGGGTGACTCACACAAACATAACATCTGCACTTGAGCTTGAGTCTTTGGAACAGGAAGTTGTGGAAAACTGGGATCACATAAAATGCACTGAACAATTACAGAATCACTAGATGAAGTATAGAGTGAACAACAACAAAGGTTCTTTCATCGAGCTCTTGTCAGTTCGTTGGGAGCAGACAAGACCCATAAGGGAGGGGTCAGGGTGTTGGCAGTGCCCCCTGCCCCTCTCACAACCACCCCTCTGTCAGCCATTGAGGACACGTCCTGTTCTGTCCTTTGGGACTGCACAACTACGCCAAAAACAGGATGAAAGTAACACTCAATACATGTCGCCAGCTGTATCTGGGATACAGATCCTGCTGCCAGTGAAATGCTTTGAAAGCGGGAGCAATGCAAAGAAGTCCTGACATGGTCAAAGAGGGTGTGAGACGGGACAGAAATGAGCAGCCTGGAACTGGCAACACATGCAGCCTTTAACAGCTGCCTACATGTAACTTATTATGTCATCAATCAATTTACAGTGTGAGTGTGCCGTCCTGTTTGTCCCAGTCCAACCAGCAGACTGGGCCAGTTAACCCCATGTGACATAACTGGACTTATGCAATGATTTGTTTGGAATCTGATATTGAGCTTTAGTGGGGAAAAAATACATGATGAACAAGTGAAACTGGGAAGGAATTAATCCTGACTGGAATTGACGACAACTTGAAAGGCTTTTTGTATAGATCTGCAGTAGCTAATAAAGGCCTCGGGGCTGACTGGATGAAGTCGCTGGAAATTAATGAGACTTTGTTGGTTTTGGTCTTTTTGTGAGATTTACAAACAATAGCAAAAAAATCTCAAATTATTCTGAATCAACAGGAGGCTGGTGTGTTTAAGTACAGTAGAAAGCATGTTTTTTATGCGAAACGCAGTATCATTGTTATGCAGTGACAATTCCTGTTATACAGATACGTTTTCCCCTCAATCAGTTCTATCTATACATCAACATTTGTACACTTAAGCAAGTTAAGAAGCATTCAAAAGCTTAAATATGAATAAAAATGTCTAATCTATTGAGTTCATATTCAACTCTTCATCCCATGGAGCCTCTCAGCAGTGCAACAGCAGAGACTAACAAAGACTAACTAACATCCCACTACTCTGTCATGATCTCATTTCCAGTTTCCATCTAACTCACATTTCAAACAGTGAATGACAGGAAGTTTTCTTGTCCTTCAGTGTTAGTTTCACAGTATTTCAAGAAACACATCAAGCAAAGAACATCTCGGGTTTATACTACACCCACAAAATCAACAGCTCATCACATCATGACGCTCACCTCTCTTTGATGGACATGTGTCGGGCCGACATCATGTCACTCAGCTCGTCTCCCTGCTCGAGCTGAATCAGGCCGTCAGCGAGTCCGCTGCCGTCTGTGTATGTGTCCCCCGCCGGAGGCTGACACAGACTGTTGGGTGAACCGGATGCTCCTCTGTATGTTAACACGCTGGACTCTAGTGGCTCTATGAGCGTGAGCAGACAAACACACACAGAGAGTCAGTAAAATCCATAATTTGACAGCAACTACATACATGTTAACAAGGCTCCTGTGGAGGATTGGGCTGTCTGCTTAGATAAAAGTGGATGTAAATAACATTGTGCAAACTGATCCATTCATCAAACTCCGTGAAAGTCCCTGTATAAGATCCACCCTTCTAAATAGCACAGCACTGCAGACATTCCACGACTACAGAGCTTTGCATAAATGTACAGTCATAGTGGTGCAGACTCAGCAGCACAAAGTGGTGTTCGAGTTAACATCTTTCATGCTTACCAAGAGGCTCTCATCCTCCTGTGAGAAGCAGCACAGACATTTTTCACAGCTTTAAATGTCTCTGCCACAGCTGTAATCAAATAACCCACGCTGTAGAAGCACAGGAGTTTTCTTGTCAAAGCGCTACTTTACCTCCCCGTCTACAACTACAAAAACCTACTTTGCTCATCAGACCGATTTCAACGTTCTTTCACAAGCTGAACACCGATACAGAATAAATCAAACTCTTTGGGTTAGAGCTACTGCTGCTCAGACATAAAGGAAGCCTCAAACCATATAACATTTTACAAACAACGCGCACACACAGACACACACACAGGAAATGTGGTTGGAAAAGAAACGGTTGACTGAGACAGACACTGGGGTTTATGTCGTGTTACTGTTTGCTCTTTGAATATTTAAAATCCGTTTCATTCGTCGGTTCAGCATTTTAAAATGTTACGTGAAACCCACAACCACAAAGAAATCAGCATATTGTTGTTGCATATTGTGTACAATGTTACTAATGCAATGTTTACTAATTTCTCCATCTTGGTTTATCATGTCAGCATGCTAAAGGCTTAAAACCACTTATCACAGACTTCCATGCTTCCTTTGGAATAAAATACGTCAAAAACCTGACTTTTCAACTCTATACACCAACATGACAAAATAATGACATTGCTAATAGGCAATGTTAAGCAGGTAGAAAGCTATTGTTTATCATGTTATCCGTATTACTTTTGTGTGTTAACAAGCTAACATGGTTAAACTCACAGCTGCTCTGAAAAAAAAAAAAATCACTCGGATTTACTTTTGTAAATTAAATAGATAAAAATATGACTTTCGAATGCTACTGTTCAAATGCTAACATGCTTACTATGACAGACATAGTGAAGCTAATGTTTGCTATGTTTGTCATACTGCATGATGTTTGCATGCTACATTATGATAATAGGCACATTTTTATTTATTAAAAAAAAAAAAAACACTAAACCTCTAACAAACAGCTTGTACCCTCTTGTTGATAATATACATGTAAAAAACTCAGTTTTTTCAGTCAAATGCTAACATAATATTATGACAAAGTTGATGAAGGAGTGTTTCAATGGTATAATGTTTCTAATGTTCACCATTTTAGTTTAGCGTGCTAGAATGCTAACATTTTCAACTTGGTGCACAGAAAAGAAGTGCAACTGATAGTGGTGGTAATTACCTCTGAAGCAAGCTTCTTAAAAACCCTAGTCTACTTCATTTACCTATCTAGCACAACTTTCCCTATTTTTTGGCAAAAATGTGGTTAATATCCAACAATAAATTATTATTGTTGTTGTTATTATCAACAATAACAACAACAAATTATCACATTATTTGAACACTTGACTGAACAGGCTTATTGGTGTCAAAGTCTAACATTTTCAATAGACTATCATTTTTTGCCAAGGCTAATATTGTATGCTTAGTCTACTGTGAAAAGGTAAAAGAACGGAAAAACAGCACTAATCTCAACAACACAGAAGTAGGTCTGTGACTACAAAAGAAGCCGACAATAAAAAGCTCAAGCTTGAGCAGATGCTTTTGAGTGTTTCTCTGCTGTTCTTACCTCCGCTGATGGCCCGGCTCCTCTGGATGTCTGAGTAGTGTCCTTCCTCCCTCAGATACCCCCTCTGCTCCTGCCTCTGCTCCTGCCTCTCCAGCAGCATGTGGCTCTCTGAGCTCTGCACAGCTGCCTCCTCCCTCCCTCTGGACAGTCGCCGTTGCTGTTGCTGCCCCCCCTCTTCCTCCTCCTCAGCTCCCCTCCTCTCTCTTCCAATGTGAGGCTGGGGCAGAGCGGCCTGCCTGACCACTCCCTCCGGAGAGGGCAGCCGCCTCTTCCCCCCTGCCAGATCAGCTCTGTCTTCTCCTTGGGGCAAGATTTGGTACCTGTGGTGGTCCGAGGTGTCGTGGGACCTCCAGGTCGGGCCGTCTGGGTGGCGAGGAGGCAGAGACCTGTCAGAGCTGGGAGGGGTGGGCTCCACATGGGCTGCTGCTCTGGGTATGTGGATGTCTCCGGCATGGTCAGTGGAGACGGTGCCTCCTGCTCTGAGTGCAGACGAGGATGATGAAGTAGGGAGGGGTCCAAAGTGAGAGGCCGCACCATTCTGAAGCTGTGTAACCGGGAGGTGAAAGGAGATGCAGACAAACAAAGAAGTGGGTCAGTTTGCAAAAGAGGCTGAGAAACAGCTAGGACAAAGTGCAGACTCAAAAATAAATAAATAAATAAATCAAGAGGATCACGCTGACTCATCACAGGCTGCCTGACTCATTGCACTTCCTGACCATCAAAGGGCAGCCTATCTTGCCGGTCAGTTGCAGCCCACATCACAAAGCCATGCCAGCAGCCCCCCTACGCACAATGTATCCAGCTGCAGCCAAAAGACACACTTCCAGGCTTATCACCATTACTTGACATAAAAACACATGAACTAACCTGACAATTTTGCTGATTAGCAAAAAAGAAGCAACAGTACGAATCCATGGAAAGGCAAAACTGTTGAAAAAACTCTTCCAAAACACGTTTTGTAAATAAAATCTTTTAACTTCTTTTTTTTTTTTTTGATTCAGATCTCTCTTATGCTTCCTGTCCCTGCTGCCAGTTTCAAAACAAGCTGCAGATAAATAGCTGCTCTTGGTCCGCGTGGTGGTAAACAGGAGCTGAACTGTTTTTGTTTTCCTCTCCTCCACCACAGAGACGTCTTTCAAGCCCCTCGGCTTCGCAGATATACGGCCGGCAGCATCATCCATCAACACATCACAGCCTCTTTATTGAAATAGTGGGGATGATATCCACTGAGTCAGACCTTTATCAGAAGCTGGGCCATGCACTGTACATTCATAATGAAATCACACCAACATGGAGATGAGCCAAAAATGAGATGCCACGAGATGTTCACAGAAACGTATGGTCATTTCTGAGAAGAGTGCTCTGGCTGCGTCAGCCTCCAGTGTTGCAGGCAAAATGCATGGTGGTGATTCAGAGGAGCCTTACTTGTAGGAGTTCTACTGGGCTGTCACACAGCTCTTGTTCATCCCTGCTGTCTATGTCTGAGAGCTCCTGGAGCAGAAACACGCACATGCTACAACACATATTTCATGTATTTTCTATTTTAATAGCAGGAGCAGGTTTAACTGTAACCCCCAGAATGCCTTTAGCTTATTACACATAATATTTACTTAGAATATCAGAGGTTATGTACTCCACTGTTGGTATACGGCAAAATGAAAACATGTACTATCTGTGGGAGACCACCTTACGTACTTTTATCTCTTTATTGTACTTAGAATCCTCACTCGTACAAAGAAGATTGCCCATAACCTCCTAGTGCTGGTGTTCATTTCAGTTTACTTCCATATGTACTGGTGCTCTTAGACAGTGGACCAGTTTAGCCTTCACTGTCAGATCTTCTCCATCTATCCACTTTTAAAACACTACTATAAGATTAATGCTTATTACGAATTTAAGATGCTGCTCGAATTTTACTTTTTATTTAATTATTTAACTGATTTCTTTTAAATTAATTATTCAGGGGTTTTTTTTTCTCTTTTTCTCTTACATAAATCAGAAATGTGACAATCTTTAACACTGTATTTTCTTCCAACAGCATATTTCCAGGTGTAAGATGTGTTAAGAGATATTTTTACTTTCTATAAACCTTACAAATCAAGAAAACAGGAGCAAATGATCATTTATAGAAATAAAGAGACATACAGTCAGATTTTTTCTGAAGTTTTGATGAATTGTTGTGGACAACAGACCTACAGGTATAAACACTGCAATGCTACTCCAGAAACATCCCCCACCTGTTCCATATCTCCCAGTGTGATGGGCTGGGTCTGGTAGCGAGCGTTGGCCCTGCGTTGACGTGTGTCCCCTCTGGTCCGGGTGACCCTGGTTGGAGGCTGAGCCAGCCGGTTGAACAGCGCCATCTTTTCTGCCAGACTGAGGGTGCAGAGGTCGGGTTCCTCTGGGCCCTGACTCTGCTTCTCAACTTTTTCCTCCATTGCCGCCACCTGCCTGGAGCTCTGGACCTCCTGTTTATCCTGTGCTTGCTGGGCCTCTCGCACCTGCTCCCTGGCAGCGGCGCTCTGCTGTGAGGATGCCTGTAGGCTGAGGGGAGGATGACACCCAAAAACCAAAGAAGTAGGAGAAAGGGAGAATTCTGGTAAGCATGGAAGGAGCTCATGCAAGTTAGCAAGTGCCGTGCTACATGACAGACAGCCCTGTAGGTCTGTGTGCAGCTAAAAAATCCAGTAACATTTTAAACACAGAGCTAAAAGGGTTTGCTCCACATGCAGGGTGAGTCACCCCCACCAAACAAAAGCAGGATATTAAGTAAAACACTTTTAGTCTTCTGTGTCATTTAATAACTCAGTCATGTAGTTTTCTCTCATCACACAGGGGGGCACCAAAATTCAAAAAAACATTGTGCATTATGACTTTACACTAACAACAACTGCATCCTATAGGTTAAGACCTAACTGGGACAGCACCACTCTAAAAAGAAACTTTGCCGTGCTGAGTCAGCAGCACCAGTAAAGATCCAACATGTTAGTCAGACACTGCAGGTCAAAGTGAGCATTTGTATCCATGCACACGCATGTGCTGTATACCTGTACGTTGGGGCAGTACTGCAAACTAGGGTGGGGCTATGGGTGCGTGCTACAGCAGTGTGAACGCTCACTGTTTGTGGCACGTGAGATGGGACGCTTCAGTGGGCAAAGACAAGTCACACACACAGACACACACAGACACATACACACATATAGGTGGCAGAGACAATACAAAGTGACAGAGGGAAGGAAACAGATGACTTACAAGCGATCAAAGAAACGACAATTAAAACTGAGGCATGTTGAGGTATAGACAGTGAAAGCACCAGTGTTGGTTGATGGTTTGACGCAAAATTTCATTTGAGAAATCAGACGTTCACACAGAAATGAAATTTTGAATCTCAAGGTGATGGATTAGCAATCAGCCTGATCATAGGTTGGTATTGATAGTCTTGATATTGTCTTACTTACCCCCAGTGTCTAGAACTGCAGAAGGTTAATATGAAAATTGACACCAATATAATGGAGATGCATTTCATTTTGTATAGTCACTGCAAAAAAAATAACAAATAACAGCAAGCTGTCCTCCCTGATGGATGGCTTTACACCTGAATAAATAAGAAACCTTTTCTTTTTGCAATTTAGGAGAACTGGCCCTTTAAAGTACTCGCTATGAATGGCCAGTTTTTGGAGAAATCCATTCATTTACCTTCTTGCTGAAACTTAAATGGAAATATTTGTCCCGCTCTTATGCATGCAAGCATGGAGATAAAGTTAAACTGTGCTTAGCTTTGCATAAAGCTTGGAAGCAAGAGGAAAAGCTAGCCTGACCCTCTTCTTGGCCTAACTTGTACACACAAACCAATTGTGTTTTAATTTGTGCAACTATTTCATGACAACCAGCAGTGACGGCCTCACTTCCAGTCTTAAATTAAGCCAACTACGTCTTGGCTCGAGCTACTTCATACAAACAAAAATGACAGTAGTTAAGTTCTTTCAGCTAACGAACAAAACAAAATAAACCTATAATGACAAACTAGTCCTGACTTTAGGTTTAAACTAATGAACACTTACGTGGCTGCGATGACCACTTCCTCAGTGGTGACTGGTTGAGTTCTAGAGCGATCTTGTGTCCGTCTTAGTCTCCTGTCCACCGCTGCATTCCTGGACCGTGGTTTAGGAGCTCCGCCATCAATGCTCTTCTCCAATTCCTGAATGGGAATATTAGGGTATATAAATAAATCAACACAGCACTGAACCTCAACTTAACCCCTGTAAGAAAGTCTGGGAGAACAGTTAGCTGCTGTGAATATGGGTTAAAAGGGAAACACTGCTGAAACATTTGATACAAAGACTTTAACAAGGGACAAATCAGCATTCAAAGTGACAGTAGATTTGATGATTTAATTGGCTGCCAGACAACATTATGTAGAGTAGATATGTCCTGATAAACAACCATAATTAAATGATTAAAAGCAGATAATTGAGTTCATTAAGATCACATCTATTATCAAAGCTGTTTAAAATTAAACTATTTATTGACTTGAGCTCAAACTACTAAGGCTACAGAGCATGCTTGGGGTCAGTTTCACAGATGTGAAGTGTACTCCATTAAAATGCTTGTTCCGGTGGAATGCTCCGTCGAGTCTGATCCATGTCTGCAATCTAAATTTTCATCTCTAAATCCTCAAAGTAATGAGAGGACAGAAAACAAACAACAGATAGGGTCCGTGTTTGCTTCCTTGATTGGAAGCATATTTCTCTGAGCTCAGTGTTTGGAACCAGCATGTAATCTAAGAAACGAGAAGAGCGAAAGACTCAAGTTGAAACTCACTCTGAAGAGAGAGCGCTTGGCTGCTACGCTCAGTTTGGCCCGTTCATCCAGCTTCTCTTCGTCAGCTACAGAGGGAGGCAAAAAGGTAAGAGGACATTGTAAGAACAGAACCTTTGGGGGTTGTCTTTGTTAAAAGAATGGTCAGAAATATCTGGCAAACAGTGGCCTACATTTATAAATGTTTTCCAAAAAAGCACTGGAAAATTCCTTTAATAGTACTGTCAAAGCCCCCTTTTTTATTTTTAGCCCAACACAGAAAATACTGTTACCCTGTTGTTCTGAGCACAACAAAGTTAAACAACTGTAAAAGACTAGGGATGATTTGTTTTATTTTTCTGCTTTTTCAAGAAAATTAAGACACTGAACAAGAATCAAATCCTTTTTCTATTTGAATGGCAAATGAACTGTTGAGGTTTAAAACTGCTGTAAAGTTCCACAAACTTGCCTTTATTGCATCTCAGAGACATTCCACATAAAGACTCTCGTTCTAACTTTAATTGTAATATAGTTTAAAATCCTCTGCCTTCACTGTTACACACTACCAGCACCATCTGGCTCAATAGCTGGGAGCAAAGATAAACCACTAAACCTCTAAACCTGTGGCTGGCGTCACTGAGAACACTATGAAAAGCCAGACAGGTGTGAGAAGCACGGCTGCATACACACATATTCTCTCTGCAAGACACATGACATGACATCACCAAACAACTATTCCCTCCGACTCATGCTGCTGTGCCGAGCTCTGCTCCATATAATTCTTGTCAGTACAAAAAGGGTCCAGGCTGAGAGTGTGTTTATAAGAAGCAGATGAGTTGGTCCTGCCCTCGGCTGAGCTGCTGTGCTGTTATGCTACTGTGAGCACCATTAATGACTCTGTAAACTCCACTTCAAAATGTTGTGCTTTCTTGTTAAAAAAAAATAAAGACCTTAAAAAAAAAAGGAGATTTGGCCTCCACCCTTGTGTCTATTTTCGGAGCTGTGATATGAAGCCACTGAGAAGTCACACTTCAGTCATTTGTGGCTCGCTGCAACTGTGGAGCTGCAGATAATTATTACAATCCTGTTGTTTTCATAGTCACATAGTTAAAGTACCGAGCACTGAATAATACATAGTAGTAACTGAAACACTACATGTGTGATTCAAGCTAGGTTTAACTTAAATGCAAAGAAGCTCAGCTAAAGCATAAACTTAATTGGTGCTTTTTACATTGCCATGATCTCATTCACCCAGACATCCAAAGATTAAAAAAAAAAACCTACTGAGTAATTTAATTTACTCAGAGAACTGTGGTGGTATCTGCAAATTACGAGTCCTTCAGTCCGTTTTTAGTGACACTCATACCCTTTGAAGAACCTAAATTGTGCAGTGTTATTGTTTGCTTTTGGCAGTATCAACTCATAACTTAATATAACACCATGACACCAGAACACAATGTGCATTTGATTCACAACCACAAAGAAAACTTCTACTGCTGTAAATGTGCAATCAAACATCAAGCAACTGCATGTCACGGACAAGCAATGTCATCGATCGAAGACATTCTAGAGCCACGCTAACAATGCTTAATCAATTATTTTACAACCATTTGAGTGCAGAGGCTACAGTTCATGAGCTTTATTTTTACCTCATGAACAGCAGTTTCTATATCTTGGTCGACAATAAGTACAATAAATGCTCACATTCTACCTTTTCACGACAATGTCTGTTACATATCCACTTACTGTTATACATATATTCTGAAAATCAAGGTCTAGCTTTTAAAAAAAGTTACTTACCTTCAGCGGAAGCGAAGTCTGAACTCACACAGGACCTTCAAAGGTGGAGAAAAAAATTAAAATCAGTAAAAGCGACTAAAGCCCACGCAGCAATACAAAGTGAATAATTTCAAAGGGGGGTGAGTAGTTAGGGATATAAAGGCTAGTGGTGAACGAGGTGGGGAGACACAGTGAAAAGTGGTCGTTTCTACTATGCTGGAACTGTGACGGTGAGAGTTAGGAGAAGAAATGAAAAAGAGAAAAGCAGAAAAGCAGACTAAGCTGGAGAATTAGACAGCATTACAGAAGTCTGTTCAGTTCCATGGTCTCAGAGAGTGATTACCCACAAAGGCCAATTCATGCTTCCCCAGTCTGGTCACATGTGATAACCGCTGCCAAGGCCCAATCAGAGGACCTTTGGCCTTTAAGCTACCCTGTTTGCTAATATTGTTAGAGTGAGGGCCAAAATCAAGGAAAGTGTGTTTGTGTCTATATATATGTGAGGGTGTGTCGCTCCTGGCCTGTGCTAAACTGTGATCCAGCTCATGGTATTGATCTGATTATGGACTTACTACAAACTATAGAAATATTGATTGTACACTGAACAGCAAACACTTGATCATTAATCAAGGCAGTTTGGCAAAATTTGATGAAAACTCCAAATTATGTCATGATTTCATTAACATGCATGATCATATGGACATCTCCCAGCATTCTTCACTCTCAGCCATGCATTCTCGAGTCCAGAGCAATACCTATCGGTCTCCTGGCGTTCTGCCGAAGTGATGGGCTGCGTCCTAAACCTCTCTGAGGTCTTTCTACTCTCCCCAGGCAAGATATACTGCCGGGGCCTGCGCCCCCTGTCCCTTTCCCCTCTCCATGGGGCCTCGTAGCCCGCGAGTGGCCTGTCCCCCTCAACTTCACTGGAGGGGCCACCCAAGGAGAGGGACCAACAGATAGACAACCCAACAGAAAGAGAAAATACAGTGTGGTGAGGGAGAGATAGAGAGGGACGAATAGCAAAAATGGAATTGTTTAAAAACAGAGGCGCTGAATATTCAACCACACCCCTGCTTTTTAAATCAAGTATGTCAGCAAGGCCATGCAGATTTATTAACAGTGGAAGCACACACACATTCACTGGGCCAAAGTAGTAACCAAACAAGTCACAGTGGCGCCAACAGCGTGGAGAAAACAGACATACTGTAGGAGGCTTAGTGGCGATTAATGCATGAATGTCATTTCTAAAGATTAGAAACTGCAACAGAATCACTGTGCTTTGATGTTAACGTCACACCAGACTAGTTGCTTGTTAGTCGCTCAGTAGCCAGCCGGCGTTAGGTAACAAGCATCAGTGTGAGCTCCACAGCAGCCAGCCAGTCAGTAGCAGCAGTGTCGTGTTTTGCTTTGCCACCTACAGCTCGTTCCTGCGGTTGGTGGGAGGAGTGGTGGTGCTCTCCATGTAGGAATGCCTGAGCTGGGCCACAGACACCCGCGGGTCCTGGTGACTCTCGCCGTTACTGAAACCCTCACCCTGCCTGACCTCTCGGGGGTCCTGAAACTGATGCTGCAGGTTCCTTTGACTGGACCCTCGTGGATCCCCAGCATCCAACACTGGGCGGTTCAAGGCTGTGCTGGAGGTGGAGCTTCCTGGACCAGCGTGTGATGCTCTGGGCTGGATGTGGGTTGCAGCAAGTCCTTTGTGGATATAAATGGCATTTTCGCGCTCTCTCAGTCTGCTCTCTACAGACTGTAGACGGGAAACGTGCTCTGCTTCATCCCGCCTGAGTCTGCCTCTGGGTCCTCCTCTTGTAGGTTCCTCTGCCTCAGCCTCCCTTGCCTGGTTAAGGGTTTGCACCCTGGACATCTCCAGCTCGTCCTCTCCTCTTCCTCTTCGTGGGTCCTCAGTGCTCCTCTCCCTGCGTCGAATTTCTGAGGGGAGAACTGCTTTTCTGCTCTTCAGAAGGCCCTCTGTCTTCACGTCCTCAGACTCCTCAGTCTCTTCCTCCTGGACCTGTTGTTGTGGCGGCTGACCGGCTCTGGATGTGGGACCAGAGGCCATGGATAGGTAACTGGGGTAACTGCCAACGTCTTGTCCTCCCTGGGGACCAGATCGGGCAAGCTGAGCTTGGGGATGATGGTGGGAATGGGAATAGGCCTGCTGGAGGCCTGGTAGGTCTGTGGGGTAGCGTGTCGAGGTCTGGGCCGGGTGCTGAAATTGTCTGCGATATACTGGGGCTTCTGTAACATTTCCCATCTCTGGGCTTCTCTGGCGGCCCTCCTCTCTGGCAAGCCTCTCTCTAACTCGGATTCTTCGGGGAGACAAAGGACTGGTTAGGATTTACAAAACATAGACACAGCAGAAGTCTTTAAAGACGCTCATAAAGATGACTAACGCACCTGCTCTAATAACACAGACAAACATAGCAATCATCTCTTTCCCTCAAGGATTCATTGTGCGAATGCTTTTCATCAAAGGAGAAGATGAGTCTTTCTCTTATTTGATATTAGGGCTGGGTGTCCAACCAGTCATTTCTGATAAATTATTGTGTGACCTGATTGTAGAATCTGATTAGATCATGTGATCTAGTCTCAGTTCTGACCTGGATCAAATCTTCAGTATGTGTTGGTGACCCATGGTCTAGAAAAGTCTGGATTATCCTGATCTCAGAAGAAGGCTGGATTGAATTTTAACTGATTTCAAAATTGGATGAATAATACAAAATTTGTATCCTGCAGTATACAAGTAAATTACTGATTTGATTTGATTAAGCATTGTGTTGATTGGGATAAAGTAGACATTAAGCTACATATTGTGCCTTTGACTGCAGTGAAGTTAAAGAAGTTACATATGTTTCTGTTATTTATCGCTGTACATTACAAAGACACAATCATGTCGAGTGGTACATTGTGTCTTCTAAAAACAGAGTTTAAACAGCTAGTCTCTTTAAAAAAAAATGTTCTTTTGTTTGTTAACTATTAGAGATTTAGCCTGTCTATTATTTAAAACACATTTTCTGTCTCCTCATAAGAAAACACGTAAAATGACCCAACGTTCTTTATTCTATCTTTACTAAGTCAAAATTGTGATTTAAAGGCACTGATGATCTGGATTTGGTAGTCTTAAGAAGTCTGTATCTAGATAACTGTGATGCAATCCAATGTTGTTTTAAAAAATGGTTGGTGGGATAGAAAAGCAGGAAACTTTTGGAACAGCTGATCTCTGATGATTGTGAGGAGCATCTGCGTTCTATGATTTCTAAGCACACTTTCTGTTGCCTATTTGTTATGGAAATACTAATATAACTCAGGTTAAACTTATCAATAAGCTTTCAACTCTGCTTCACACACGGTCCTTTTTGTATTAGCACTAAAATGGAAATTTTTTAAATCATACCCTGCCTATCACAACCGACTGTTGATGCTGATACATAACAAGGGAGATGTGGAGTATCCGTACAATAGGCACAGCTCATATATGCATAATTATGGATATTAACTTACTGATAAATGAGCAATATTGAAACATCATTACCAAAGTTTTATGCTGCATTTCTCAGCTTATAATAAGGTCATTTAAACAGTTGTTTTCACATTGGGATTAAGTCGAGCACAGCAACAGGTACATGAAAGATGAAGTTATGGTTCGAAGCCAAGAAAACTGGAGCTGGTGACGATGAGGATGAAGATGATGATGTCAGCTGACTCCCAAAACTCAAAAGCAGAGATTCTTAAACATTTCTGTCTTCCAATCAGCCAAGGATCCAAACTGAGTGAAAGCAGTATCACCATAAAAGAAACGTTGAAGAAGCACTGCTCATAAGGGTTGGTGGGTTAAGTCCAGCTGAATGGGAACACAGTAAATGATGTTGGGGTGAGACACAACCAGCCTGGGTGTACCTTGATGGCCAGTTGATGAGGGAGTGGGTGTCGCCCTCAGCGTCAGTCTGGAGGAACCAATCAGTGCTAAGTTTCCCCTTCGCACTGCACCAATGGAAACCCAGCGGGAAACATGTGAGTGAGTGAGTGGCTGGGTGGGTGGGTAACAGTCTACATTCAGCACTGAGCTCTTTTCTTGGAGCACACAGGCACACCACTACATTACACACACCACTGACTTCACATTGAGCTTGACCAGAGTGAGAATGGGCTTGGACACCAGCAGGATCCTGAGAATACAAGCTCACCTCCCTGGTGAGACATTTCACCGTTACTGTGATTCTGGAAGAGACGCCCCTCATAATAAAACATGAATAGTAAATCTCTTGTTTAATGTTCACTAAATTAGGAGCAATGGCTGCAAAAACACAATGTACTTATATTAAATTAGATTTGGCCACAGAGAGAGCATATGTTATGTGGAAAATCTATGGTATCAATGCATCACTGTATCTAGAGAAAAGGCTCACTGAAGTCAGGCCTCTAACTGAGGTCTTATCTACTCAAGCAGATACTCAGACGAAACGCCATCTCGGTCTAACAGAGCCAGATGAGTCACTCAGGCTCTCTGATGCTGAGCAAAGACAAACAGCCTGAACCGTTTCATTAGGCACGGGTCTGAGTTCAACAAAATCGAGGAGAATGCCCCTTAGTCATGGATACAGAGAGAGCAGTTTGTAAACCAAATGTTGTCTTTTAAGTGATACCAGAATCTAAATTTAAGACCCAATTAAAAATCGCAAGAGGGCACCAACTCACATCTGACGGAAGCGCTACTTAACAGTCATAACCAAGTCGACTGAGACATGTCTTATTTGCTTTTGAACTTGAATGAAAGACGGTAAGGTACAAATTATGCTCTGAATGCACCCTGCATGGACACAATAGGGTCTAGTTTTACTGCCACAGGTCTCAGTGTTAATAAATTTAAATAGAGTGGATTCAGGTACACCGAGCATTGGCTCTGATCATATGGCATGTCGCAGTCACACCTTCAAACTCGCCCAATGGAGGCTGCCAGTTCTATCTTCTTCATAGACCATATGCCTCAAATATTAGCATTTAGACTAGTAACACTAACAGGGAGAGATCACTCAGCGCACTGTGGCTGATTAATTAATCTACAGATAACAAACAGATCCCCCCCCATTAAAGGACAGGTCTTTCTTTAGATTACAGAAATAAAATAGGTTAGACAATTAGCATCTTCTGTGTATACATCATCAGTTAGAGAAGGTTTTAATGTTGGTGGAGGAGGTGACAGCAGGACTTCAAGAATAGATCCTAAAAAAAAATATTGTTTTAATGGATTTCTCTGTCATTACATTCATTATTATTTTCACTATTTTTCCTCTGAGACTGTTTGTTGTGCTGTTGCTGCTGCTGGTATTTCAGCTGATAACACTGATTAGCTCTTACTATCTCCTGGCCCTTTCAGATTATGCCTGGTTGTGCTCTGATCTCTCTTTTTTTAAAATATATGAATTTATGCGCATTGGGTTAATGTTAGGATTAAGAGTAAACCTTTAATAAGAGCAGTCATTTACTGCTACTACTCATTGTCTAGCTTCATCCAGCTATTTTAAAATTCACATCACATGTTGTTCTTTTGTTGTCTTTAAACTATCAAGCTCAGCAAACAGCCTGACTTGAATTGACCTCCTGTCTGAACAAAGACACTCCTAATAAAAAAGAAATATTTTCATTGAATTATTTCAGTGCTACATATAATCAGAGCTCAGTTCCCTAAAAACCGTGCATTCAGCCAAAATTAAATAGTAAATCAGAGAAGGAATGCTTTCGTTTAATGAGTTGGAGGATCTTGTATGAAGGATGTTTCTCTTCTTGTACAGAAATAATAGCCACAAATGGATTGTTCTAAAAGATCTGTAACTACACCGCAAACACGCAGTCACCATCAGGATCAACTTGGCTTGACATTAATGATGGACAGCATTTGGAGACACGACTTTAAAGGGATATTATTTTTAACTGTTCCGAGTAAAAAGGCTGTTTCAAAGGTCAAGAATGGTCTTTGAAATTCAAGGTCAGTTCATGGTGAACAATGACCTCTGTTCAGAACATTTTACTACAAATCCTAAAATGTAACTAATCATGTTAGACCCACAGATGCCCTGAGAAGAGAGGGGAGGCTCTCCTATTTGTTTCTTTCTCCTCAGACCTCGCTGGTTTTGATCAGACCCAGCTGTGGGTCAGAGATGTGACCGTGGAGTCGCACTGAGCCGCACAGTAACACAACACCCATCCTGCACCACAGACACACACACCCTGGCCAAGTTTTGAAACCTGAGAGGGAGGCTGAGGAACAGAGAGAGGGGCGAGGCAGACAATAACGGAGATAGATAGGGAACGACGGCGTGGTCGGGTGTAGAGTCAAAGAATGCGTCTTCATATACAAAAACCAGGGCTGTATCCTGGTCTAGATCTGGGCCGGGCCACTAGGTTGTTACATCAGACCTAAAGAACAGAGATAAATTGAGGCGCACATGCTGATGCTGTACGTTTCATCAGTAGTGGAGCCAAAACACTCCTTAATAGTGCTCCTCTGCAGCAGCAACCGATTTATCAGTGTGAGATAACACCACTGAGACTTTTAAAGGCAAGTACCTTAGGGTAATAAACATGTTCTCTTAGCACAAGTCCTTGCGATCAATACGATACAAGAAGGTTAAAAAATCACTCTGAAGACAAGCCTTTTAAATTGTTAGGACCTAAAGATAATTCTGCTTCATTACTATCTGAGTCTTGAAGTTTTTGACATTACAAAGCACTTCCCAGAGTCACTGAACTAATGTAATAAAGGAGCAGACAGACATGTGCACACGAGTGAATGGCCCACTGGGACGAAACTGTGTGCAGTATGCAAGCAGGGCAGGTAACGAAATGCACTCTGAGTGAAGAAGGTATAATCACTCACTGAGCAGGAAACTGCGTGTGCACCAGGGTCGGATCAACCCATTAGGGGGCCCTGCAGCAAGAAGGAACTATGCACCCCTGTGAATTCCACAATCCACTTTGGCTTGACCCTAGAAAAGTTTCCTAAGCTGGAAAACTATCCTGCCTAAAGTAGGTGAGCTTGCGATGTACTAATTAAATACAAGTTGTTTAGAATAGCACCTGTTAATCTGAACATCCACTGAGATATTAAAGGGTACTAAACTAGATTTTGATACAGACCTGTCAGCAAGATGGGGGATCACATCAGATATACTGTAATTGCATAGGGTATTTATAGGGTATTTACCATTTCAATTTCTATTGCGTTTTGGTTTGTGCAAGTACTCAAATTACCACAAAGTAACTGCCATACTTATGATATGGAGTTTTCAGGAGCTCCTGATGATGTGCTGCTTGCTAACAGTTGCCCATTTTGTAATGTGGCTTTCGTGTATGAACAGTAGAATAGGTCCTAATGAAACTGGGACATTGGTCTGAAAACTGTTGTGGATAATAAACACTTTGGGTAATAACTATTTGGGTTATCATAACCTGGGGAGGAAAACAACCAAGTTTTATTAGACTCAAACTGTCCATATGGATGCACTAAAAGCCCTGATCGGCATTGCTGAATAGTGAATCATTTAACATATTTTCTAAGAGGAGCAATATCTCTCCGAATGCTGGATCAGCTACAAAGCCAGTGGTCAAATTCATCCAAACAGCCTCGGAAATGGCTTTAACAAAATTGCAACAGCTCGGCCAGTAAGAGCTCCTTTAGGAATTTAGAAAGTACACCAATTTGCTATTCTCAACAGAGTCATACGAAATCCCTGGAATAAAAAAAAAACAAAACAACCCACACACACATTTTGCATTAATCTGCCCAGCTGCAGGTCTCATCGGAAGCTGTTCCAAAACATTCTCAGGTTGCCTGATCTGGTATGAAACACCAGTCCTGCCAAGAGGACGACCTTGGACATGTGTGAATGAAAAGAGGGGCAGAGACTGACATGGAGGGAGAGCGACTCGGCTGGATGGATACTGCTGTCGCAGTGACTCCATCTATTAAAGAGAATGATACAGCAGTGTTCTGGCTTGAACCCTGTGTATACAGATTTGAAGGGAAGCTGGGAACTCTAGAGCGGAAATGGCTTGCTAATGAGAAATAAAATGCAAAGATTGGCCATTTTCACAGAAAGAAATGTGACAATTTAGCAGTACAAGAAAGAGCAACTACTGGGGAAACAAAGGGATGAAAGACTCATCCCTAAATCACTCACCCCTGTCTGCTGAGGATGTTGTGGGCCTGCTGCTCAATGAATAGGTCACCAGGAGACGTCCCATGTTTTGGTGAGGAGACGGACGGGTGCCTGCTCAGCTTGGGAGAGCTGGGTGGCATCCCTGTGACCGCATAGTCTTTAGCAGGCACCCTGGCATGGGAGGACAAAGAAGTTACGTCCATGTAGGAGGAAGAGGATGGAGGCTCATGTGAAGCAGCCCTGCGCTGATTCTCCAGGTTCATCAGCCTCTCTCTCTCTGAGAATGAGTCCACCCTGGTTCGACCGACATCATAGCCTGGCTCGGCGTGGCTATACGGGGGTGCTGAGCGTCCTGTTCTCGGGCTAGTGGCTGAAGTGCTGGTGTAAGCGCTAAGGGTGATGTCCCTTCCTTCCTCCCCCACTGAGTCCCCTCTGGTACGCCTCTCTGAGCCCTCTGAGTCTTTCCGGGTGCGGGTGCAGCGGGAGGTGTGGTCCGGGTCTGGCTCCTGATCCAAAGAAATCCCATAGCGTTCAGCCAGCTGCCGGCGCCGCTCTGCCTTATAGCGGGCGATGCGTTCAGCTTTAGACTCCAGCTCCGGGCCACTGGTCATGGAACCGGAGCTGTGCACTGGTTCCATGTGGATGGAGGATTGAGGGTCCGGCCTGCATCGAGCTCGCGACTGTCGCTCCGGAGCCTTCAGCTGCATTTCTGGGCTTTCAAATCCCTCCATTCCATACCGCTGGACTGTAACTAGAGAGAGGATACAAGCCAAGTTACAATAAGAGCATAAAGAGAGACGAGCAAGCCGACATGTTACTGCACTTGTCTTACCAGCACAGGGCTCACAGGGGTCAGAGGCTCTGGTGTATCGGGGTGTGTCCTCCTCCAGCAGCCGGTTGGCCACCAAGCTGGGCAGCAGAGACGGATGGACTTCACCCTCTATGCCCTCCAACCGCCGGGCGATGCGCTCCTTTCTAGTTGTGGACAGGAAGGAAAGAGTTGTCAGCTGTGTACACGTTCTTAGCCTGCTCATCACTTTCACGATTAGAAACTCTTGCAGCCTTGTTACATATAGTTGCACCATTATCGTCTCACCTGTTCATTTCCCAGTCACTTGCGCTTGTGGTAATACCTTCAAATCGTTTCCTCAATTCAGACACTTAAGAAAAAACAAACAAAACAGAGTGTTGGCTCATTAAAAAACAAGACAGCAACATGACAAACCAAAGCATTAAGACAGTCACGGCCATTGTCTGGGAGAAAAACATCCACAAACTGACACTGAGATAAACAACATCAAATATGAAATGTGGATTAAAGGCATATGACACATTGAATAAACAGGTTTTGTCTATCTCCTAGTTTGCACAACCTGTTTTCTACAAGCTCCCTGCTACAGCATGTTTTGATTCAGAGTAATTAAATTAATTAGCTTAAATTATATTAATTATATGATAACATTTTAACAGCAACTACACAAACTGACAGGATGTGAACTGCTAGATCCCTCTGAGTTTACTTATCAGTTTGTTGGTGTATTAATACTGTAAAAGAAATAAACATAAACACCAGCTTGATGATGTCAAGATGCCTAGAGCCTTAATATTACTTAGTTACAGGTGATTTCATCCAGAGAAAGTGAGGATCAGCACCGTCTAAAATGAGAAGCCTGCTTACATTACTTGAATGTATGGCACATCTGTCTTTACCAAAGCTCAGCGAATCTGGATTCCACAATGGAACCAGCTGCTGGAACCCAGCCCTTATTATCTTGCATTACAATAAAGTTAAAACAAAACAGATCTGAGCACAGACAGCTGGGCATGGAGACGTTTAAATTCAGAAATATGCCTTTAAAATTTCACAACTTTTGCAAGAAATGGTGTAACACTGCAAATACAATCCAGCAGTGGACAAGATGCAGCAGTCCATTCCTCTGGACTTATTGACCAGAAAATCAAAGCATTCAAGGATGGATTTTAACTTTTGATTTGATCTTTAGCAATTAGTCTGTCCTACAGTTTCATGTCTGCACATAATTCTTTTATTACTGTCTAAGACACAGCTTGTAAAAAGCTAATCAAAAGTGGCCCTAACAGCTCCTCAAGCCATTACGTTCACCGTCCAGTGGAACCTGACAGAGCCACAAACTTCTACAGGACTTTAAATCTTTATTGGACCTATATTTTGGATCAAATGGAGCCTGTTGAGAAAAAATACAACACCACAGAGGTTCATACTGTACAATTTGTGAGGCCTGTGGCTTGTAGAAGAACTGGTTTTAGACAAATCTTGACATGAATCCACATGGCAAAAAGGCAGCTGTTGCACAATAGCAGCTTTCTAATACCCTGGGAATGTTGACACTGTGAGCATCATGTTCAGTAAGCACAAGTTCAAAAAAATCCTTACTCACCTTTTGGGAGATTGGCCAAGAGACTAACATCTATATCCTTGGTGCTTTTGGCTGGTTCGTCTTTTTCGTCAAAGGAGAATTCTTTCTGGAAGCTGAGGGGTGCAGGAAAAATACCAACTGTTATTGAAACAGGGGTGAGCTGTGGGAAACTGGATTTGTTTATGGACCAACAGTGCAAGCAGTAGTAGGGAGCTCAGCGAATCAATCTGAATCTGATCAAACGGTCATCCAAATCATTAAAAATATTGCTCGAAGCAGGCTCACTTTGAATGGTGGTCAAGAATTGGGTTCTGGGTAAAGCTACAAAAACAAGCAATCAATCATCTAAACTATACATTTGGATTTCAGACTGTAAATTTCATAAAGTTTTCAATCCCCAAATATTTATCTAGAAATAATGAGACATTTTTAACCCCGTCACACCCTCCGCCTCACACAGATACGCAGCAAATTTCTCTCTCAGAAACACATTGAAGTCATTTATGGATTTGATTCAAAACCACAGAGTTGCAATAGAGCTATAAAAGAGCTGGCAGCTGATTACTGATGTGAGGAAAGAGTTGAGGCCTGAGGAAACATGACTTTGTGGTTTTGTCCATTCCAGTAACCACAGAGTTATGAACACACTGATATACACAGGCATAGTAGATCTTTTTCTATCATAACAGCATTTGTCTTCATAACAGAATATTTCCCAACTTGTGAGTCCCACATGCATAATATTGTCAAATCAAAGCCACGCCCACACAGTTCGCCATCAACCCCGTGTCACTGAGCTCGACATCCTCAAGTGTCGTAAAGGAATCTATATAGATTAGAGCCTTAATGTGGAGCGCTGGTGGTTTATTTGACACACAGCCAACAACATGATGCTGAGCAATCCTGCTAATGCTGCTGCAGAGGCGTTTCACATTGCTGAGCAGCAAAGTGAGCTTATCTTTTATTGTCTCACTAAGCCTGGACAGGGCCCTGTCGGAAGCACCCGATCTGACTAAGGACAGTTAATCTCTGACAAGGCAATCAACGTTAACGGGACTCTATGTAACTTTTGAAGGAGGAAATTACATTTTCTTGCTCTTACGCAGTAAAAGTTGAACAATAAAGCACTCGATTGCTCAGTTTAATACAAACACTGGTGTTGGAGTTACTGTGTTCCATGTTCTAGTAGGAGCACTATTTTAGGATGGCTCATGTGCAATTGATTTTACTGAGTCAGTTTGCTGACTTTTACCGAGTTACTTGTACTACATTATGTTTATGCATTCACTGTATTGTTACCTGATCACTTGTGGTGACAGTGGCTGCCATCCTCGATTTTTAATATGATGCCAAATTAACAGTGAGTGATTTCACATCGTCTGCATATTCTGTCCATACAATATTCTCACTATGCTGGTCTATTTTATAAAAAGGACATGAACTGCATGTCATCTGTCCTGAAAAAGGGATCTTTCCTCAGTTGGTCCTCATGAGCTTTCTTCCATTCCTCCCCCCTCTGTTTAGGTATTTAGAGGGGATTTTTTTTCCTTATCCAAATCTTGGGTCTAACTTGAGTGTGTTGAGATTGTAAAACAATCAAAAACGAATTTATATTTTGTGATGTTGGGCTATTTAAATAAAACTGCTTAGACTTGATGTGACTATCTTTGCAAGATTGTCTCACACTTCCAGCTTTGCTCTGTGCAGAAGGAGGACTGCTCTCTTCCTCTTTTGTCTGCTTCTTCTCCTCATTTACATTTCTTTGCAGCTCTGTGCCAAAGAACACTCAAGGATCAATGTAAAGAACAAAAACGTCGAAGACAACAACCTTCTCAGTAATAATCCGACGCTTATGGTAAATTCACATCTCAAATATAAACCCCCATGTGTAGAATTGTTTTATGTGACAGTCGTTGTTATGTCCTTAATGACAAATTTCCCTGTCGACTAACTGGAAATTTAAATTTACACTAAGAAAATTAAGAACACACTGACTACAATTTTATCAATAAGGTTAAACAAACAATATTACATGTATTCAAAAGTCATTTGAAATGATAATCATAACCTTTAATAACCCAACTTTTTACTGGTACTCTGTGCAATGCATAGAAATGTTTGTCATCCTGTAAAACATGACAACTCCATAAAAAATCCTTCCCACGCCTGCACTGAGTGTAGGTATGCACTGCTCTGGTTTGCCAGTTTCTTCTGACACAGCCTACATACAACCAGTGTGCTAGTGAAGCTGCAGTTTACATGCATGTCCACTTCTTTTCCATGACCTGGAAAGTGACACTAAGATGTGACAGTGAAGATGATCTTTGACTTTTTGTATATAAAATGACATAATTGTGTCCCATTAAACATTTGTGCATAGTTTTGTCATAATTCATGTGTGAATTCTTCAGGCTTGTAACATCACAGTGATCTTTGACCACCAAAATCTAATCAGTTTATCCTCGAGTTCACATTTGAAGACACTCCAGGTCTACCGGGATACGACATGTATAAAAATATGAGAGGTAGATGGGCAGAAAACCTGAAAACAAGATGCCTCCAGCCACAGCTGTCACAACCCAAGGGCATTATAAAACTGTATAGTGATGATGTCTTTTCACATATCTTACCTCAGCGCTCTCTTCTGCAGCAATCTGGGATTGCTTATTTTAATGGGGGTCTCACTCCCAAGTCCTGCGGGCAAAAGAAAAGAGTGTAACATTTAGTCATGTTGCACTTAGATTCATTAATTCCAGTTTGAACAGCAGAACCTTCAGCTTTTAATGAACAGACACAAAACAGGAGTCTTAAGGTGAAGCAGCCAGTTTGTCTGCAGCTCCTTGGCACAGAACCACATTAATTAAGTGGACTTCCACAGAGAAAACAAATGATGTGGAAAACAATAATCTGCCTGCCTCACTGAATCACATCAAACAATAAATGATCTGTGTTAGTTAAAAGGCTCGCACTACCCCACCACCACAAAACCTCCGTCCACAGAAACAGCAACAGACACACACAAATCATCGCTGCATTTCCATCCACAGACACTGACTGTCTCCATCTTAAGTAGCAGTCTATGTACTATGCATGAGGTCATAGCTCGGAGCATTTGATGGAGGAGTGGCTGCCTGTGTGTCACTCTATGAGACTGCTGCTGTTAAGTTTCATCACACGTCAAGGTTGCGTTGCAGTGCAGCTGGGACGGTGCCAGCAGGAGCCGAGCACATCGTTGTCGCTGGGCAGCATTTCTATACCTGCCATGAATACAGATAGAGGACAGCGTGAGGAGAAACCGTGCTCTCCATTCCGCCTGATCTTACAAACACGCTGGTATGAAGCTATGTGATTAAAGCTAATTAAACACTCAAGAGTCAAACCCATTAAAGTCTGGTGTTTATTGGGAAAATGGCCAAAGTCAGTTAACAAGGGCAAAACATGACGTGAACACCTGCCTACAGAGAGCAGCCTCATTACCAAGAAAGCGGGCATCATCAAGCATTATGCAGCGTTGTGAGGAATGTAAATTCTGTGTAACATCCTTTAAGGAATGTCTGCGTCTGTTCACTCGCTCGCTCCAAACCTCAAACGTGCGGTTTGGCTGCCCTCAGACCTCCGAGAGGCCAGAGCCGTGCAATTTCGGGACAAGCATGTGGTCCCACTTCCATCCTCTCCGAGGTCACCTCCGGGCCGCATGACACCCCCTCCCCCTCCCCCAACCCCCCTACTGCTCCACCCAAACCAGTAACTTCTCCCCAGTGGCTGCCCACTCTTAACTAACCCCCCCGATTCCAGATCTGTTAGTCCTTATTACGATTGTTTGGGTTGATGTTTTAAATCCCTCCCACTTAAGCAAAACATCATTTGAGAAGGAAGAAGGCTTACTTGGAGAGGGCGGTGTGTCGGGATGTATTTAGGGGTCGGCGTCTTATTGTTTCAGCTGGGCAGAATATAGCTGGTGAAAACACAGCTCATTCCTTGCTAGCCTTGAATGATAATCCTGGTTATCTAAGCAGTCTGTGCTGTCATCTTTTGGCACTGATCCAGAGATTAGGTTGACACCATTGCCAGCAGATATATCGACGTATAAAACAATACAAGAAAAAACAAACCAAGTGTAGTCTGACTGGGATTATTAAGTCAATGAGTTAATTTGGTGTCATCTATTACTACATAAGCTTTACATTAACAGCTTAAACCAGTTTTCAGTTATGCTCTTGGCATGATTACTTCTTGTGAAGAACATGAACACTAATGAACCAAAGCATAATGACCACTTACAGATGAAAAAGAAAGGTGATCATCTCATTACAGAGGTGCTTGTCAGGCAAGGATCAGCCGATTATGAGAATCTAATATTCAGACGTTGTTTTTATCCGAATCCCCATTAAACAAATTAATTTACAAATGTGCTATTTTGACCCGAATGCCGCCAGCTCTTTGAATGAACAGTCTCCACACTGTGGTTTCCAACAATCTTCTATTCACAGCACCATCATGGGTTACACACCATGAATAATGCCTGTCAACACTGAAGGATAAATGTTGGAAAGTGTTACATTGGTTTAATTAAAGTAATTTAATTTTAACCGGTTTAATTAAACCAATGTAAAACATAAATAAACAAAGGCATTTCAGCTAAGTTTTGCATTGCAGTGTTTGCTATTTCAAATTTTGACACTAAGATTTTCACTTTTACTGTAAATATATATTGGGGATGCAACAATAGGTCAGCAAAATCAATGACCAAAGTAGTCGCCAACAACTTTAATTTTAAGTTGGTGATGCCCATGTGCGTTTTTTTTAATATGGAATATTCTGGCATGCAGACATTAATGCTCACTGGAGTTTAGTGTGGAAGCACATAAAAACACGAGTATTACAAAAGTACCCAATAGGCAACTACTGTCTTTATTGTTCGTGAGCACACACACACAACAACCTCAAGCTAAACTTCAAAGCTGATGGAGCCAGTAAGCAGTAAGTATCTGTAACTGTGTAAGTTCACAATCTAAATAGTTTCTTATTAATTTCAATAAAATATTAAAATACATGTCTCTTGTAAATATAGGTTATTTATATCAGATGTCCAGTAAACAGTCACTTTATATATTAAGGATGCATTATTATTACGCCGTTTGCTACAAAAGCTATGGAGGTTACCTCGGGATTACTTTGCTGTATTGTCTGTCCCAATTAACATAGTTCTATCCAGAGTCCAAGCCTCCCCAGTCTCCACAACATAGGTGGTCAGTAAGGTGTTACTGTGACCAACAGTTCTGAAGGTTAAAAGTTTAAGAAAAACACCCAAGTTAACAAACACCAGAATTTCCCTTTAAGTAAGAGCGTCAAACAAAACCAGATGTCAATGTAAAGGTTAATTAGCTGTTAGTGTGAAAATAACAAAAGCATTTTTCCCTTGGGGGCAGCAGTCTGATGCTATTGTCAGGTCTCACATATAGAGTTCTCCACAGGCCAGACCTGCACTCCTTTTACACTTCATACAGTCTATATGTCGTGGCATGTGAGCCATCAGGGTCGACCCCCCCCTCAAAAAGCCAAAGTGCCTCAATACATTCGTCATTCCAGACGCAGGCATAAAAACCTCCACAATGATCACAGATGTCGCAGAGCCTTTGATGCTCGCTGTAATCTACAGAAACACTATGGTTGCTATAGCCGCGAGGGAATCCACCAGGAATTCCTCAGCACCATGCCCCGTGTGTGTTGGTGAGGCTTGTAAAAGCGGCTTGACACTGATAAAACATGGGGATAAAATCATTTCATGATTCAGTGGAGTGCCATTCAAGTTCTGAAGTGAGGAAAGCCTTTTATGTGATGTTGTCAAAGGTGTGAAGAACAAAGACGGTAGAACGCTGTCTGAAAATGAAGAAGCTACACTAACTTTGGGAATGCTCTGCTTGAATAAACTCAACTTTAACGTGAGGCTCAGGTCCTGCTTCAAAGGTCTGATATGTGACAAAAAACACGGGGATCACGTGTCAATCAAACACCACATGCTTCCTCCACGTCTTCACACACAAAAACATCCAGTGTGGAAACCAAAGAGGCATCAGGGGTGAGCATATGTCCAAGTTGAGATACAGGATTAACTTCAATTCCTGGGATTACAGAGAGCCCAAAAGAAAGCGTGTCACCCTTTAACTGTGTGCATTACATCACACTACATCGCATGTGTAAGTCTTCACATCCCCCACCAACTTAACGGTTGCCCCCCTGCTCTGCCTGCAGGGAGACCCAAGTTGTAACCAAAGCCTTGTCACTGACAGAGGCTTAAGAAGTAAAGGCATTTACGAAAAACACAGATGGAGCATCCGTAATTAGGTGAAGCCATGGTTACAAACAGTAGACTTAACAAAAGGACGTGACAATAAGCCAATTATGTCTTAAACAGTAATAATGAGTAAACAAGGAGGTCAGTCACAAAGTCAGTTCTGGACAGGAAACAGAGGGCAAAGAGAAGCTTTGACACATCTATGACCCGAATCATTCAAACTAGCTTAAATACACACCCTCCTTCTCCAAAACCAGTCTCTGTGCTCGCGTAAAAAACCTGAAACTGTAGGCCACCTGTTGTAGATTTCCAGTCAGTTGAGCATAGAGAAGCCAGACCTCAACACTCAGCTCCCACTCAGAAATATTACAGAGAACGGTGGGAATGAGAAGCAGTCACAGAGACGCAGACATGGACCAGTGGTCAGTCAGCGGTGCATAATCATCTATCAAATACAAAGGCTGTGCACAGCAGAGGGGATGACAGAGAGTGTAAATTGTTACTTGGACCAGGGTGGTGATAAATGTAATGGCAAGAATGTTTAATTACATCAGTTTGTAATATTTTGTTCTCATGCTGGTTCACTTCGGAGATGTTTGTTGTGATTAATTACAGCCCGACAGGAGATTTATACAGTATTAAGAGTAGAGGCATTGGGTCATTTAGGGCAATTAGGGCTAAGCCTCATCTGCTACTCAATGACATGCAAATTAATATGATTCAGGATTAATGCATGACATAAAAATCCTTGATTGCTGCTGTTATTTATATCAGTGTATATCAATATTTTACAATTTGAGGTCAGCGGCTGTATAGCGGCATTAGCTTTGAAACTATGTTTTCAATTGAGCTTGGATTGAGGGGCAGCTATGTGGGGATAGCCCCTGCGTACAATATTAGGTGGCACACGGGGACGAAAACAACTGTACACACGCCCAACTACGCTAACCTTGAACAAACCAGATTATCCTCTAGCATAAATGCTGAAGTCTTACCTTCTGAGAGAAAACCTAAATGCATCAGTAGCCACCATTCACATATGATACAATGTGATGAAAGTGGAAAATAGTGCATCAGGCAAAATTGTAAAAATTTGCAATTTTCTGTTTTTTTTAAGTGTCCAAAGCAACTCATCCTTTCTCCTACCTACGGCCCAGTTATACGAGGAAATGACACAGCAAAATATGTCCACATATTTCTGCAAAACATGTGTTTGAAGAAGCTTGATATTGATGGAATAATGTAGCTGTGGGATTAACTGAACTGTCAACAAACAATTCCTATGTTTTGGAGCAGTTTATTCTCTTACAAAATAAATACATAAATGAATAAATTCTAAACATAGAAAAGCAGTAAATTAGCCAAAATATTACTCTACGTTTATTAGCACTGTCATGACGGCTTGCGCATGTAGTGATCATGAATCATTTATCGATTTCATGAAAATATGTTTTAAATGCTGGTGTGGCTTCACTTTTAAACTTTGGGTTGATTAGCTAGCAGAAATTACAGCTCACTGATGTTAATTTATGGAATTTATGTGCTGACAAATGTGGTGACAATAAATGAAGACAAGAGTTTCTTAATGTTAATCAATCTGTAAATGAGTTTTTCAGCCCAAGTGCACAGTCATGGAGGCAGATGTAAAGCTTAAGAATACATCCATAAAACTGCTTTCCCAAAATCTGAGTACAAGTAACTGTGGAGCCTAGAAATAGCTTCGTCCTAAAACAGCCCCCTGCAGTGTTAAGAGTCCCTTATCTCTGCTACGTAGTGTCCTTGGAGGCTACAGCTGCAGTGCAAGGACAGCTGGCTGGAAAGCAGGACAGTGAGTAAAGAGAAAGGGAGCCTGCAGTTTGTTGCCTGCCAACTTCCAAGAGCTCAGATTCCCGACACCCACAATCAGAGTAACCTGTCCCCCAAGCTCTCAGCCGGAGCTCCGAATCTGAGCTCTGCCCCGAGCTGCAGAGCCTCAAGTCGCTGCTCTTACCTTGGCTGCAAAACTTGACGTGACTCAGGTAATTCGAGATCCACGGGTTCCGGTACATTTTGGCAACAAAAGTCAGGCGAGAGGTTAAGACAGAAAAAGGAAGTGAAAGAGATGGAAACACGGGGTGGAATGCAGCTGCCCGAGAGGTGATGCAGCTACAAAAACACTTTGTCAGTGCTCCGGGACAGACAGAGAGGGAGAGAGAAGGGAGTCAGGTAGTGGTAGAGAGAGGCAGAGGAGGGAGGGAGGGAGGGGAGAGAACAGAGAGAGAGACGTCCCAGCCGCAGTGCCGGCACAAGCAGAGGTGGTCCTGGTAGGGAAGCAGGGGAGTGGTGAAGCTCTGGCTGCTGCTCTGATTCTTCTCAGATCCACTCCTCTGCTCTGGCTCCACTCGCTCACCGCTGAGGGCTAACCAGTGCCTACTACAGCAACAACAACCTGCAGGGCTAAAAGCTGCTCAGCACGGGCTAAGCTCATTAGCCAAAGCAAGAAAATTAGGGCCCGTCCCTACTACGGATTGGAGCAAAGTGTCCTCCTGCATGCTTCAGAATGAGCCTCACAGGAAGAGAGCACAAAAAAAAAAAGAAACAGTGTGAGAGAGAGACAGCGAGGAGTGTCCCACGAGAGCACTGCCTTCCCTTGGCTCACACACGCAAGTAGGATGCCAAAGAAACCGGTGCAGAGCGTCAGAAAAGGGAGGGAAGGGAAAGCGTGCGGGGTTTGAAGGACGGTATTAGAAATAACGAGGGCAGGAAAAGAAGAGGAGAGAGTTTAAAATGACCCTCTCAGTCAGATGAGAAATTCCAGTCATCTCTCAGCAGGGACAAAATAAAAGAAACAGCATGCCGATGGGAAGAGCCAGTGGGAAGGGCAGGGGAAGGTAAGAAGGAAATAGTGAAACAAAGTCCGAAAGAGAAAAGCAGAGGGAGCGTGCAAACAGTAATGAAGGAAGCAGAATGTGAGCTCTGCTATGTGAGTAATGGTGTCATTACACTAATAGTTTGGTTCTTCCTAGAACAGCTCAAAAAGGCACAAGGAGGAGAAAAATAGGCAGATTTCCTGACGATCCCAATAAACCAATATTCCCCGTGTGTCATAGCGTATGTGAACCCATATCTCAGTACGTATGTTCTATAAGTGAAAGCCAAAAACACAACAAATGCACTTGAACACACACCTCATCCATACATCAATGTGACAACAGTGTGCTTATCACTGTACTGAGAGGGCAATGCAAGGAGGCTGGCGTAAAGCCCAACACTGCCTTTCAGATGCTGCTGGGAAAACAACACGCTGTATCTTATCTTTCTGCAGCAAACAGAGCAAAAGCTGTCACAGCCAACCAGGCATCAACATAAAGCAGATCTAGTGGATGGAAGCAACCGTAAATGTCAGTTTCTCAATTCAGTGGCTGCAGAATGGCATGAATAGCAACGCAGCAAAAAAAGCCTGCTGCCTTTTTCCAGAGTACATGGATCTCAGTGGAGCTCTTTTAAACTTCTTGTAAATGCAAGCCAGGTTGTTGGGACTGTTTCAAAAGCACAGATCAGGTTAAATGCATCATAGCATTTGCTAAATCTCGTAAATCTGTCCATCCTTACCATCACAGGCTGCTCAGGTGTGTCAAGATGCAGCCTGACTGACTGACTGGGGTGTGTTAACTTTAGAGGTGGCATGTTTGGATCCTTCTCTCAGATGAGCTCATCTGGCTCAGCATATGAGCGGCGCACATACATCACAAACCTGCCAATTCACACTGGGGCTCAGTGGATGGGAAGAGCGCTACCTGCACGCAACAACGAAACAGTGTTATTTTCAGCACCGGCTTTTCACAGCCTATAATTTATCAAACTACTGCAAGACTGAATGCTGGCAATTCATAAAGTGCAATAATAAGATGAAAAGCATTTATGGACAATTGTTATCAATTGATGAATTCATAGTGGAGAAGTTTAGATTTATGTTTGCACATAAGTGGATTTTACTGAGGAAAGAAGTGAGCTAGAGAAGCAACTAAAGTCTTCAACTTTAATTGGCACATCAATTGGCATTATAATTGGACTCATAGCTGACACTATTAGACACTTAGAATGATCAGTAAGGCCTACAAGTAATAATGTTGTTTGTTTTTATCGGGATATATGAAAGTAGGAGATAATCATGGTATATCTGAGATATCCTGAGATAGCCATTCATTAGCTATACTCACGTTATCCTGCAGAGGGTCTCAGAGGGCTGAACCTTATCTCATAACACTGGACAAGATGTAGGGTACACCCTGGACAGGTCGCCAGTTCAGCAAAAGGCTGACAGCAGATATTCCTCTGATAAACTGCTAAAAATCAATCCATCTATCATCTATACAGAGCTTAATCCTCAGTACGGTTGGAGCCCATCCCAGCTGACTCAGGGTGAAGGCAGGGGACATCCTGGACAGGTCGCCAGTCTATCACGGGGCTACACTTAGAGACAGACAACCAAGCACACTCACATTCACACCCAAGGACAATTTAGAATCACCAATTGACCTCAACATGTGTGGGAGGAAGCCAGAGAACCCAGAGAGAACCCACGCTGCACGGGGAGAACATGCAAACTCCACACAGAAAGATCCTGGGTGTCCTCACTGGGATGTGAACTGGCGACCTTCTTGCTGCGAGGCGACAATGCTAACCACAGAGTCACCCTGCAGCCCACTTCTAACTATATGTTAAACTTAAATATGAAGGTGTAGCAGGCTGTTTGCTTTAGAAGGTTCTGCTGTTAGACCGAAACACAAACTGTTTGAGATGAACTGGGATTCATGTTAGAACTTGCACTCCTACATAAGTAACTCAATCAGGTGTTACCAGTTTTGTTTTCTATTTAGGAGAAAGCAGAGTTGATATCAGTTTGTCAGTAAAACAAACCGCATATATTCTAATCAGATATGCTCCGGCAAGTATTTGGACAGTGACCTAATATTGCCTCTGCACACTACCACAATGGATTTGTAATGAAGTCATCAAGATTAGATTGAAGTGTACGCTTTCAGCATTAACTCAAGGTTGTAATAAATTATCTGCATTAACTGTTTTTGGAATCATAGACCATCTTTAAACAGACCTTTGATTTTCACAGGTTCAATAGGAAATGAACACTTGACAAATAAGCAGCGTTATGTCCAGTTGGGGACCATGTCCTCATTATTTCATGACCATAAATCCTGTCCATTTCTGGAACCAGAGTCTTTGGAACCAGAGTCTTTGGACAGATAAAACCGAGATGAACATGTACCAGAATGTTGGAAAGAGAAGAGTATGGAGAAGCAAAAGAATGTTTCATGATCCAAAACATACCACATTCTCTATCAAAGTTGGCAGAGATAGTGTAAATGGCATGGGCATGTATGACTGCCAGTGCAACTGGGTCACTGGTGTTTATGGATGATGTGACTGCTTGTAGAAACAGCAGGATAAATCATACATGTATAGAGCCTTAGCTTCTGCTGAGAATCAAGCAAATGCTACAAAACTGGTAGGACTACACTGAGTAGCACAGATGGATGGTAACTCAAACCATACTATAAGGGTGACCCAAGATGATCTTCTTCTTTAAAAAAAAAAAAACACTTGCGGTTTATAAATGGCCAAGATAGCCGAAGTTAAACCATTACATTAAAGCTGAAGGTCTATATTCAATCACAACTTGATTGCTTCATTTCAAATCAAATGTGTTGAGTATACATAGACAAAATTATTTAAAAAAAATAACATCATTGTCCAAATATGGACTTTACTGTATTTCAAAACGGGAATGGACTCTATATCAGCTATATCACTATACCTCTATGAGGCACCATTACTGTCATGAAATACAATCCCTGATGATTTTAATCAAAGCCAAACTAGAACAGGTCTTACCTGCCAACAGCTACCATCTGGCTGTCTGACTTGTATGTAATGTTTGTTTCTTTGACTCATCTTCTTCAAGGATGACATCAGTCCTACAAAACCACCCGACAGTTTCTACCCTGTTATTAGCAATGATGAATCTTTACTGCCAAGGATGGGCAAGACCTTACAGGTCGCCGCAATGATGCAATCCTGCTCTTGTTCTCTTAATCTTTGTGGTGGATAGCAGGATTTACTTCGGAAATAATACAGGAATCTCAGAAAAGAAGAATGCCTATAAACAAGCATGTACAGAAGCAAAAAAACTAACTGAAATTACCCTTCAAGAAATGGTGTTTAGTTGGTGCTCAGCCCTGTGCTCACATTATTGAGTGATAATTAGCAACTATGCTGTAGCAGATGTGAGGAATGTGAGCAGCTTTATTGCTGCATTACCAGATCTTACTTTTGCTCCACAACAGACTAAAGATTATTTCAAACTGACTGGAGAAAACCAGCTGATTCAGCGGTGCAATTGATTAAGTATCCAACAACTCAAATGGTATATGTTTGCATCTATTTTGGTAGTTAGGATGTGGAAAATGTTTTTTCTTTGAACTATTTGTAATCCTTAACACATCTAATTAGACCCACATAAACCTTCCCATGAGAGGACCATTTACTTTGATGGAGAATCTGCGGGAATCGATTAAAGTTTGCTTCCGTAAATGCTTACACGCTGGCTATAAACCAGCCTACAATGGTTAGAGGAATGACAGTAATGAGACCAACAAGTGGGTCAAACGTCAATACAAATGGAAATTGAAGCCATCACTGCCACCACACTGCAAAACTTGACAATGCAGTGAAATGGATACACCCTTGGAATTTACATTCATTTAAGGAGTGCACTCTGGGGAACCCACATAGAATTTGAAGAACATTACATTACCAATATATTGATTTTTTTTTTTTTTTTATTAAAGCTGACAATTGACAATAATTTGTCGTGATGTTTAAAGGTTTAGTCGTGACATTTTCATGCCAAAACATAAAGTTTTCAGTGGTGGTCCAAATCTTTTGTTATGATCGGCCTCTGAATTAAATGTAGACCAAGTGACACGAAAACTGAAGCTCGTACCAAAAAATCTGACACAAATCCATGACTTCTTACATTATGAAAGTATTTTTTTAAAAAGCCTAAAACTCTCGAAAACTGCGCATATAAATGCTGAAAAGTGTCTGCTAAAATGTTTTTAAAAGTGTCATTTCAAGCAGTTAAAAGTGCCGGTTAAGTGTAATCATTAAAAGGAGGTGAAGCGTCAGTTATTGTGCA